CATGAAATCCAGAGAATTTTCACAGTGGGCAAGATTCCAGGCTTGCCTTCAGCTAATTAAGTGATATTAGGGAGGCTGTAAATGCCACATAAAAATTGGCAGGAAAGCTGCTCCTAATGATGAGAATATTGCCTTGCGGGGAGGGGCAGCTGCCGCTTCCCCATGCGGGTGTCAGAGAGGACCGGCTCCGTGTCTTCAAGGTTGTTCCTGATAAGACAAGTTCAAGGGTGGCCACACTTTCTGCTCCCTATCCCACGGATACTTGCAGGGACGGGGAAGGCGGGCGTGAAGAGCCACCAGCAGTGCTGTCACTGTCGTCCCCAGCAACAAGTGCTCCGTGCGTTCACGTGTGACACCGTGTCGACGTCCTGCACTCCCCACCTGGTTTGGTCCCCACGGCGGCACCATGAAGCTCCAGTTCCCCCATTTGGAAGGCAAGAGGACTAGGCAGGGAGAGAGGCCTGAGTCGCCCGACCCAGGGCACGAGCAGGGGAAGCGGCGCATCAGCGACTCCTCGTCACCGTGTGGCCCTCCCTGGCTTGGCACCAACGACACGAGGGGACACTAGAGTACTAGTCAGGAGGGACTCTCGGTAGTTATTTAACAACCGCTGAACAGCCGGGGGCGACAGTCACAGGGCAGAGGCCTTCAAAATTGAAAAAATGCCCCAGATAGAGTCTGCAAAACCCCCAGTTTCAAGCCTGGGGATAAAGCGTTTGTGATCACTCACGCGGGGAGTCCGGCACACACCCTCTCCAGGAGGATGTTTACTTGCTGTAGAGGACGCATTGTGTCTGGAACTTTGGCTCTGGGGCACCCCGAGCCCGGGACCCAGGGGAGCCAGCCCCTGCGCTACTGACCGCAGCCCGTCGAGCACCGGCCGCGCGCACACAGCCAGCGGCCAGCAGCCAGGGCTAAGAGCGCCTTCGTTTCAGACTGTCTGCCCATTTGGTAAGATCAGGTAACGCTCAAGAAGGCTGGTGTGAGAAAACATATACTAAAAACTGCATTTCCTTTAAGAACAGTCAACAATTCAGACTGTCGTTCCTCGACTAATTTTAAGAGGAGGGAGGCGAGAACAGAGAAGCAGTTACTAGCTTCCTGGTAGAGGCGATGTCCCAGATGTTTCTAGGCACTAAGAAAAACATCAGAAAGACACAGGCGGCAGAAGCCGGTAGACGAGTCTTAGGCAGCTACAGACTAAACTGTTTGGGGAAGAGGAGCGCTTTCATGGTTCTAGCACATAACTCACACGAGAGAGGGCGGTTACAGCCTACAGACTCGCTCTTCCATATTGTCAGGGCGGCTCTGAGACCCTACGGCGCTCATTCTGCTCTTGAACCATTCTCCACGGTGTCAGACAGGTGAGGGATCCGCAGCCCTCCGAGGCACGCCTGCTCGTGACGGGTGTGCAGCAGACGTCACCTACGCAGACGGACACCCTGGCAAACACGGCAGCTCCACCCTCCCGCAGCAGACAGTACTGGGCCTCCGTGTCTCCGGGGAAGATGGAAATTCTGGAAGGTCCGTTATCTTGGCTTCTCTGAAGCAAGTGCTGAGTCTACCAAGCTTCAAACCGGAACCACATTTCGTAGGGGAAAGGCTGTGTTTGTGACGGTTGTTGCTAAGGGGCCACTCCATATTTTACCACCAGCACCGACTCCCTGTGCAGCTGTGTGTGTCGGGGTCCAGGGTGGGGGCGGCTCTGACAGGTCCGCATGTAGGTGTCAGGAGAGTTTTGTAACTATGACTGTATTTGCGTGCCGGGGAGAAACGCCTCGCGCTCCCTGTCACAGGCAAGGACGCAAAAGGAGCCACAGACCTGGTGATTAAGATCTCATTTGGGGACACCGTTTCTTTCCCTGAAGACTGGTCAAGTGGAGGAGCAGAAGCACAGATGAGGTGACCCTCCCTGCGCCGTGGCGGGGAAACAGGTCCCTGAGCTCACAGGCCCTTGGTTTGAGTTTCTAACACCCAAATTCCTCGTCTGGTGCACAGCAAAGCGAGACAGGATTTTGTGCAGCGTGAGGTGGATTTGGTTTGCACGAACGCAGAACTACTCCAGGCAGTAAACCCCATCAAGTGGAATGTGGCATAATTTGGCGAATTTAGGGCTATTACTTGATCCATCCACACAAAGCACAGGGAACGACTCTCTTTCTTGACAGATGGACTTCAGAGGAGACGCCTGAGCTCAGAACAATCACCGTGGCCACCGCATAACTCTCTGCACTTCGTGGGCTTTGACGGACTTTTCCTTCCCAGCGCTCAAAAAGCAGCAACTGGCAGTTGCTTGAGCCCTGACTGAGGTGTGGAAAATCTGTCACGTTTTCTCTGCCGCTTACCCTGACCACGATTATACGGTCCGTGTGCAGATTAGCTGCAAAGTCATTCTTCTTGCGGGAGTGACAAGATTTCCCCAAACGAGAAAAGGTGCCTGCCATACCCCCGAGTGTCTGTCTGCGTTTGCGAGGCAGGGGTGGGGTGCGAGGGTGTGAGAGTGTGGAGAGAAATGCCTTCAAAAGAAGGGCATAACAACCCAAAAAGTAGCTGTAACGGAGTGGTGACATGGCCAGAACAGAGAGCTGTATTGTCACGGGCGGAGTAATCCTGTGACACACTGCTGTCACTCAGCACCCGGCGCCCTGCCGCGCCAGCCAGACATCAAAGGCCACCCCATGCCATCTTACATGCTCTTTATCGGCTAATCAGCCCATTCTTCCCTAAATAAAGCCCTGTTAAATCCCCTGCTCACAGGGGTATAGTAGTCCTGGTGCCCATCTGCTAGCAGGGTCAGCCGAAGCAGGAGGCGGCGGCTTGCTCTCTCCCTAGTGGCTTCTCAAGGTAAGGACAATGCTGGCTCCAAGTCCCCCTCCCAACTGCCTCCCTGCCTTGCCGCTCCGTTTTCTAGGATCTGGGGAAGAGCTGAGGACATCCCAGTCTGAGGAGCTGCTATCTGGATTAACACTTGCTCATGAAATTCCCGGTCATAAAGGTACATCAGCTGCAAACAATAAAATACGGGAACCACGTTTATCTGCGGGGAGAGGAAGCAGCAAAATACGTGTTTCCCACCAGTAATCAGCTGGCAGGCACATTCCCATCTTCTCGCAGGGCCAACATCCTAGAGACTGTGGTAAGATGGCCTGGCTTCCAGATCACTGGGAGGTCGCCCTCGGACCTGACCGCAGGCCTCACACACTCACAATCAAAGCCAGCCTGGAGAGCTGGCAGCCGCCTCCAACCCCAGACGGCAACCCGAGGCCGGCGCACCGCCATCGTGCCTGGGAGTGGATGTGAGGCGTCTTCTCCCTCTAGGAGGACGGGCAGAGAAGTCGCTGGCTGCAGCCCTGCCCAGAACACGCAGCAGGGGTGGCAGGCAGCGCCCTGCGCCTCTAAACCGCCTGGAAGAAACCAGAGCCGGTGTGTCTTAGTCTTGTCTGGGCACGGATGAAAGCAGCGATGAGGAGAACGACTTGCTTCACAGAATTACTGGAGGATAGTCCTATATGAGAGGTGTTAATATAAGAAAAAAAAGCAACCCTCTTAAAAATCCCCAGGCCGGCGGGAGAATTAGGTGAATTTTATCTGTTACAAAGAGCCTTGTAGGTGCCAAGTCCCAGAACAGGAGACTGGATGTTCCAGGATATTAGCCCACCTGGTTGCCAGGTCTGTGTTCTAAGGTGCTTCATCTGTAGGACCCGCCCTTGTGCTGATTCTCAAAACAGTCCTGGGAAATCACTAAAAACATCGATTTCCTTCTCCCTTCTGTAGCTGGGGAACCTGAGGCCGTGGGAAGTTAAGCAGAAATGCGGCCCAAAGCCCAGCGGCTCACATCACAGTGGCACAGCAGCTGAGTTCAAGTCCCCTGCACGCAAGGCCAGCGATCACGTCCTTGCACCGGGCGGTCCTCTCTCCCTTTTGTCACCGCGCCCCAGAGAAATCAGGTGCTGACGAGGGTGGCGGTGGCGAATGCGTAAGCAGCCGCTGTGCGGGGACGTGCAGGAAAAGTGCACAGATTCTCGGTGAGGGCAGGTGGACTTGGCATTTGTAATTAATAAGCAAAAAGAATGACACTCCGCACAAAATAACCGCCCAGAGCATTCAAGGGTTCACGGCCCCCCCAGTGTCTGTTCGATCTATCCTTCCCACCCACGTGCTACACAAACTCCCCCTAACAGCAGCCCGTGGGATCTGAAGGATTCTGGTTCCTGCAAAGTGGCTGGGGCTGGTATTAAAGGTACACCTTGGCTCTGAGGAGAGAAAGGACTTTTGCAAAGGTATTTTGAAACTGTGGAGCCCAGGCTTCCCCTACAGGGCAGCCCTCCTCCCTCTCCTCCGGAGGACCTCTGGATAGTTGGGAACACGCTTCCGCCAGAGTGCCTGGCGCGTGCCCCTCCGTGTGCTCAGCACCAAGGAGCGCGACACGGTGTGGGGCAACCAGTGGGGGCCCCTGGAGCCTGCCTTTCAGGGCCCAACCAGCCGGCAGGAGAAAGGCACTAAGCTGGGACACGCCGCTCCTCCCAGCTCACCAGGGCGGGGCCAGGCAGATTTCACAGAACACGCCAGAAGTTTTCGTGCAAGCCCTGGAGAACTTTCCAGGCTGAGCCACACAGCCCATCTGAAGCTTTGACTTTAGCGAGTCCCCAAGTCACTCTGCTGCTGGGCAGGGAGGACAACCCCACAGGTTTGCCCCGCTGCCCCAGTAATATCCCCACAACTTCCGGACCTGGCAGAAGACCCCACTGCATTTCTGTGGGTGCCTTAAAAACCTTCAGAAAAGCTGTTTCTCCTCTGGCTCCAAGCACTGACTACACTGAGAGAGGGGCAGACCTTGGTGATGATTTCCCGCAAGGACCAAAGAGGCAGGAGCTTACACGGAGCGCACAGCAGCCTTGCTCGTCCCCTCCCGTCCCCTGCCCGCTGCTGCTGTGCGCGGAGCTCTCCACACCCACCTGACTCCCAGCCGTTTGTCGCCGGGCAGACTCCACTCATCTTACCTGCTCAGGTTTGCTTTCCTTCTCTTCACAGCTGTGACACCAAGATTCTGGGGGGCATCCCTCAGCCCGAAGCTCTTGGCCACGTGGCCGAGGTGCAGCGACCGGACATGGAAGATGGGCTTCAGCTCCCGGGGGTAGGTGGCGTAGGCGCGGATGAAGGCCTGCAGAGCTGGGAGGAAGAAGGGTCAGAGAGGCCGTCAGGATGGGGACTCGGAGCGCCCCATGAGCCCTGGCCTGGCGGCCGTCCTGCCCACTTTATCTTGCCAGACAATGCGCGACATACAGCCCTGACAGCGCCACATATAGGAACCACCCAAATCTTAACTTGTGTATTTTTTTTAATTCCTCAAAAAATAAACCGAGAGGACACAAGTGTTTGTTGACTAAACCAATCTATTTTCAGATTTTACTGTGCAGCGTGGCCCCAGCCTGGACGGCAGGGGGCCCGTTTTCTCCCCCGTCACAGGCCTGGGGCCTTCCTTGCATGGGAGCTGGGACACAGCAGGCGGCTGGTAAGTGTTTGTTGTATAAATGAATGACAAGCAGAACAGGTGAAGAAACTAGGACATGGCCAGTGTGGCATTCCCTCGCGAAAAACGAGATCATTAGAACTTTACGTCACGGAAACATTTTCCTAATTCAATTTCACTTATTTTTCTGCATAGCTAATACATGCACATGTTATAAAATTCAAAAGGTTCCCAAGGTTTTACTGTGCTTGTCATTCTGCTTACCGCCACGCCGTGTTACCGGGGTATAAGACTGCTCTCCCGCAGGCCCCGCCTCCACCCGCCCCTCCACGGGGACGGCTGCCATGTCCTTGTGGACTGCCAGGATTTTAAAACCAAATTCATTCTAAAGCACCTAAGATTTACTGATACAGTGCTCCTTACCCATTTGAAAACTGCATAAAAAAGGCAATGAAAACAGAATCCTAAAGAGGAGGAAGGCAATTATTAAATTCCTAAAACAGCCCACAAAATGGTCCCTCCTCCCTGAAGCACTGGCAACAGTCTAGAGATGTCCGTCCCACAGTGCATCGTGGAGGTTTCGGTCCTGTCTTAAAGTTAAGGCAGTGGCGCCCCTGTTCAGGAGCCTAGCGGTGCCAGAGAATAGGCAGACCTGGTTCTTGGGAGTGGGGAGCTCTGGCTATACCTTATCTTGGTATTCCTTTGAGGAAAGGGAGACGTTCCTATACCTAGTTCCTCTGGAAAGTACTGCAGTTCCAATGACAGTCAGTGTCTGCCCTTCTCACTGCAACAGGGCAGGAGGGGATGGCTCCGAGGGGCCCCAAGCCCAGCACCTCTCCCTTCCCTTTCGAGCCTGGCTCTCCCCTTGGCCCAGCCGGAGCCCAGCACCACGCGTCGCATGGAAAAGCAGGCGCTAAACACCAGCCTCGCTCGCCCTCGCCTGTCGAGCCACTGGACTGGCAAGTTTGCCCACAGCTTAAACGTAATATCCCAGCAGCACCTGGAGATTGGCGTTTATGAACAGTAATAAAAAGTGTCATTTTAGCAGATCAGCTCCTGGAAGGATCCTGGGAATCCATGAAAGCTCTATTTACTGAGTAAAGTGAACTCCTTTTCCCAATCGATGAGAAATAATAACCAAGGCAACTCCCTGGCACCCCGCCGTCAGCCTGTGTGCACTCTCCCCTGCACCCCGCCGTCCGTCTGTGCTCACTGTCCTTTTTAATAACCGGGGACTCGCTTTTTCAGGGGAAATCTTCAACACTTCACATGGCCTGCACCGTCCGCAGGTTCTGACACCGGCTTCCAGACACAAGAGCTGCATAGTCCTGTCCTCGGGAAAGCGCTACGGCCACCGCCCCGGGAGGAGCAGGCCTCTTCTCCCCACGCCCCGCCCCTTTCCCTCCCAAGCCTCAACCCTGACTCGAGGTCTAACGAAGCGGACAGCAGCCCCACCAAGCCAAGCCAGAGACTCCGCACCTGTACAGTCTCAGTGGCCCAAGGGCCGGCCCAGGCCCCCTCATGCATACCGCTCTCCCCAGTAAGCCCATTAGCCCCCTATTCCTGCACCAAACGGAAGAGCTGAGGTTGGGGAGCCTCTGTCCCCGGACACACAGCTGCCCAGCCAACAGCTCCACGGTGGAACGAGTTTGCCAAGAAAGGGCAGACGGGTCTTCTCCCGCCACCACTGCTCACGCAGCATTTGGCGCTGCCTATTTTTACTAACCCTCCTTGTCCTCGCAGCTCCTGTCTCCCCGGGGCCAGCGACACCTGGCTGTCCTCACATCCCTGAATGGCCTCCCATGTTTGGATGATCCAGGGAAGCAGGAATTCCTGTAGAAGCTGCTCGCAGAGGCTTCCTGGGGGCAATGTCGACAACGTGCCGTGGGAACAGGGGCTGTGGGGCCCAGAGGAGCGGAGAGCAGAGGAAGAGGGCATTCAGTGGGGACGCCGCAGGACGCCGCGGTCCCTGAGAGGTGTGCCCCGGAGTCACGGGCTCTTGTCTCATAGTCGTAAGGGAAATCTACTTCAGCCTTTTTCCTAAAGTCAGAGTTATTGGCCATCTGGTCAGGAACAGCAGTATCTTACGGATGATACTTGAGGTCAGAGAGGAAGGGAGGAGAGACACTTGTCCCTGCCCTCCTGACACATAGTACAAAGCGCTTGTCCAAGCACCTGCCCGCCTGTGATCACGCCGAGGGAGGGAGGGAAGGGGCTAATCTGTCCTCAGTGGCTTGGGTGTTCTTGACTTCGAGAAGCAGCCCCTCCAGGGCAGGCACGACTCCTCTGCACGCGGCCCCCGAAGCCGGAGGGGCGTCACTGCAGGAAAGCAGAGGTTCGTAGGTAAAGAACTCCAGTTTCTGAAACTTCTCCTCAGGAGTCCGGAGTGCAAACTTCTGTCGGCACAGTCTTTAGCCACTTGACTCTAGCTAAAGGAGGCAAGAGATGAGGGGGAAGGGTGACTGCTTCCGGAACGGACAACAATCCCACGCTGGTTATGAACAATGACTGGGTCAGGAAATGCAAAAGGAAAACAAAGGCATACGTACTTGGCCCAGTTTCTAACTAGTTTTCTGCCATGAAGGCAAAACCCAGCTGCTTTGTTAATTATTCATGAGGTGGGCTCTGGAATGGCCTATAAGGGAGGCCCGTCAGTAGCGGGGAATTTGCATATGCAGACTGAAAGACAGAGACGGTCTGGACCTGTGAGGTGTCCCGTGTCGTGAACTGAACGGCCCCGCGCGCGCCCACACCTCCGAGCTCCGCACGCGCTGAGGCAGCAGAGGGGGGCCTGCAGCGGCCGACACCTGCCACGGGCGGCTTCCTCCCGGACCATCACCGGTCTGAGGTGGATGTCAACTGGCAGAGAAAAAGGCCCATCTCTTTCCTTCTTGGTGCCTCAACCTAGCAGAGCGGCCGCTCCGATATCCGTTAGACCAGTCACTCTGCTTGTTTCTTGGCATGACCGATTCCCGCGGTGGCGACGCCGAACGAAAGCAGTCAACCACACTCAGGACGCCTCGCTTTACTCTGACGGCCAGACACCCTGAGACAGTCCTAGTGTCTCCAGGAGATCCAAAAACACCTCTGACCTCAAAACCAATGACGAAAACGACGGCGTGGCCTTGAGTTCTTCCTTTTCATTGCCACTTGGTCACGAACCAAGAAATCCTGCGCACAACACCTCGTGGCACACCCCCAGCAAGCTCCCTGTGCCTGTGAACAGACACCCAGCATCTGTCGCCCCGCCGTGACAGATCATCTACTCCTCTTGAGAGACGCGAGCTGGTGCTTCTCTGAATGTGGTTCCGGAGGAAAACCCTCAGGAACTGCGGACTTCACCGGAGGGAAATGTGAGCATAGGCGACTAAGAGAACGCGGTCCGGAAGGCTGCACGCTCGTTATATGTCTGGTCACGGGGCCATCCCCAGGATTTCATCTTCCGTCCTACAGAGTTCTGGTCTGTTCCAGGGTGATGGCAGCAACCGAGGGCTACGTGTATAGTGTGCCAGGGTATACAGGAGGCACTCAGAACATGTGCCGACCAACCCATTCTTGGGCTCGATTTCCTGATGACCACAACTATCTGGAACCAGTCCCCGAGCACTCACCGTTGCCCCCCAGTCTGTTCTCACACCGACCATCTTTTCCAACCTCTGTGGGCCATGCCACATCTCTGCTCCAAGTCCTGCAATGGCTCCCACTGCCCTTGGGGTCCCCCAAAGTCCTTGACAGCTTCCAAGTCTCCTCTGTTGCATGGGCCCTCCCCTCCTCTGGCCACACTGGCCTCCCTCCCTGCCCCCGAACTCCTCTGGGCCTAGCACGCCCTTCTGTCGGCATCCCTTCTGTTAGTAGTACGTGACCCTCAATCTGCTCGAGCTGCCTTCAGAGCAGGGCTCACCCTGACCCTCTGTGTAAAATGCACTCTGACCATTCACTCCCCACCTCCCTCGCCTGCTGTGTTTCCTACAGTTCTTGACACCTTTGAAAAGACTTATTTATTTATTTACACTATGCTCACTGTCTGCCCCCCCACTAGAGTGTTAGAGAGGTCAGGGTTTCTGTTTTGATTCCTGATGTATCCTGAGCACCCAGAATGGTGACTAATTCAATAACTATTTGTTAAATGAACGGTTTTGTTTTTTTTTTTTAATTTTCAATTTCTAAAAGGAAAAGCTGATGCTGTGGCGTCCACATACCGGTAAGCCAGCCTGACATTCTTCTCAAAGTAGCAGGTAACCAGCAGAAAGAAGCAAGGGGCCCCAGCACGGACTGCATCTCACTGGCACATGCGACACACTCACCAGCCATGACATGCGGCACACCGCCATAAGAAACATCCTGCTGTTCTTAGCCCCTTCCTTCGTGAACTGCTGAGTCCCCACTAATGCCTAGTGATCCCAGGAGCCACGTTATCCAATAAGAGGGCCTGAATAGTAAATGAACACCTAGCTCTCCTGGAAATTCCCTAGGAATTGGGTTCAAGGTCTAGGCCTTCCCTCGGTACTGTTCTCTCTCATCCTCCTTTGTATGACCAAACCAAACCAAGACTGCTCAGGTCTGATGTTTCTGGTCCTTACCTTCATCTCCAATTTCCATGCCTACAACCGTCTCTGCTGACATGTCACGTCTCATCTATCCAGTTTTCAAAAAAACACAAAAATGGATCCCTGAGATCCAAGTCACTGGGTCAAAGTTCTCGTCCTATGTAAGCCAAGATAAAGCCTCATTTGTGTGAAACATGGGGAAGGATGAAATTAGCATTTAATATCGCTTTAAAGCCTTCTGTGCCTGCTTCTAGACCCTGTGGAACAAAGGAGGCCGAAGGCTTTTGTTGGAGAGCAGAGACCCCCCAGTTGGCCTCTTAGCCTGTCGGGGGTCTGTGGGTGGAGGTGGGACGGTGTCCTGGGGGCTGTCCGTCCACGAGCACCTACGAAATCCACTGACCTTTCTTTGCCCAGGAGACCCTCCTCTCACTGGAGTGCACGTAATCTTCAAATACCGTCTGCAGGACTGTGGCTCGCTCTCGGATTTCCTGGGGGCCGGCAGCACGGGATTTCTGGGAGGGTGGTGGAAGGATTAAACAAGAGACAGAGTCAGAGTCAGGAATAATGAAGCACTTTATAATAGATTTAATAACAGTAAAATCACCCGGTAACCACTGAGGGGCCAACAAGGGTAATCCTTTCAATATTACTAGAGGAAAAACGGGAGCTATAAGGATGTTAAAGTCAAGCAGAGATGAAGATGGCTTTGTGAGGGAGAAGATCGGGTCTATTTATTTACTTGTTTACTTACTTACTCGTCCTCCTGGCCTCTTGCTCAAAATGAATGCCCACTGGAGACACTCTGGAATTTTCCAAGTCCAATCTGGGCATTTAAAACATCACTGAACACAGGCAGGTTTCACATGACTTGTGTGTCCTACCGAGGCCTTAAATCTTCCCCTTCCCTCAAGCTCCTCAGAGGAACAATGGGACCTTCTCTTTAAGAGGGCCCCACAGGGGCCTGCCTGACACTGAGCCTGTCCTTGAATTTCAGAGCATGCTCCCTCATTTCTGGGGAGGCACAGACTTGTAGTGTTTCAGATCCACTCTTTTAGCCCGGAACCACTGTGCTGGGCACCAGGGTCCTGTCACGGAGTGGGGGCGGGGAGGCTCCTTCCCACCACATTCAGAGAAGACCACACTATCTCCGTAGCAAACGTGACATCTGAACGCACTCAGGTTCTACAGACGGAAAACGTTAATAAAAACTCATATCCTTTTCATTCTTCAAAAATCCCAGAGAAAAGATTTCCTTTCCTTATATCCCCCTAAAACTGAGTGTTGTTTCCTAGATCCCTTTTTTTCCCCCTAAAGTAAGCTCGAAGCCCAATGTGGGGCCTGAACTCGCAACCCTGAGATCAAGGGTCACACGCTCTTCCAACTGAGCCAGCTAGGTACCCGTTTCCTATGTCTGAAAACACGGGTGCTTTCTACTGAACGTGAATCTGAGATCCAAAGAACCCAGATTCTCCAAACTAAACTTGGCTAATACGCCTCCCCCAGACATCGATGCTCTCAGAGATGCTACCCAGTCTCTCCTGTACCAACACCCACTGCCCACGTGGGTCACCAGGAGACAGTGTGAGCCCCAGTCCCCGCTTCCCTTAACCCCGCAGAAGACAGGGTTTCCACACCTGTGTCTGGAGCCTGACCTAGGCTCAGAGTCTCTTTCCCTTTTAAAAGCTGCCAGAGGAAGAACAAAGGGGAGAGAAGAAAAAGCCTCATTCTTTGGGTCCACATCCCTCTCTATATTAATAGAGACTTTAACAACCTGAAAATGTTTTTAGCTTCGTCAAATCACTCCTACTACCTGTTTGGTTGATGACAGTCTAGCTGATTTCACAGTACATGGTCCCCTAAGGGTTTTATCCACTCAAATGTCAAGAGAAAAGTCACTCAGGGGCGGTGTTATGAAAGTGGACATTTGCTATTGTCATTAACAAGGATTTTTTTTTTTTTTACCCTCTTAACTGATGTGAAATGCAAACTTTTTTTTTTCTTTTTTGCTGCCCTCCTTTCGTTAAGCCACCTCAGCAATGCAACTGTCACCTTCCTTGTGTGTGTTTTTTTTTAATATGAATGTGAAATTAGCGAGGATGCCCTTTCCCCTGGCGGACAGAATCCTCTGTTATTAAAAAGTAAAGCACTTTAATAATGAAAACTTTTTCCTCTTTTTCCTGTGTTTTAACTGTTTAAAATTAATGAGAAGGGCAGAATGGTTGTCAAAGCGATATTGAAAGCCGGGCAGCCAGGACCGAATGAGCACAAAAATCCCTCTAGAGTGTTAGATAAACAGAGCTCCAGCCCGCTCGAATCCCTCTGTTGGTTATTGTATACATTCTGTAACAGCTCTCAGAATAGATCTGAGAGCCAGGGAGGCAGAGAGGTTTCAGAATTCCAATAAAGGCCTCAAATTAAAGACAGCCTGGTGCGAATTCCAGGAGAAAATTAAAGAGACCTCAAGCTTAAGTGACAGGTGACTTGCTTCTGTGTCACAACTGTCAGGGGATTTAGTGATAATATGGCAATATATTACAAAGGGCTTTTCTTATTCCCCCTTTAGGTTTCAAAATGAGGCATCTTTTCTTCCCAACCAAAAAAAAAAAAAAAAAATTACATACACACACATATATAATGTGTGTGTACAAGTGAAATAGGTAGAAAAAAGGCGATAATACTAGGTTCACGCATTTGAAATGTGGAGGTCAGTTTTAGGGAAATATGAGGAAAAGTTAATGCAGAAAACATAATATACTCAGGAAAAAGCATGTCTTTCTCTCTCTACCCCCACTTCCAGAAATACTTTATTTTAAAATTACCCCTCTTGAGAATGAGGTGTTTCTCAGTTGTCTTCCGGGGAGGACAGTCTAAACTTAAACTGAAGACAGGGGCAGAGCCAGGCACGCAGCACCAGCTCGGTCCCAGACAGGGAAAACACTGCCGTAATGAGAGTGGGTCAAAGCCCGGAGGGCACCCGAGTGCCCTGTGGGATTGGCGCGCCCACCCCTCAAAGACGCACAGACCCAGTGCTGGTTAATGGTGCTAACTGGCAACTAGTGGACCAGGGCTGGCTTAGGAAAACACGGTTCCAACGGTCCACACTCAGGATTCCTTCGTCCGTAAAGCCCTACTGATCCCAGAGAGAAGAGACGATCAAAGGGAGTGACGGAAGGGGCTGCTGATCTCATTTTAATATCTTCCACGGCCCAGTTTTTTTGTTAAGATCCGTTTACAGGCATGTTTCATAGAACAAAAAAAAACTCATAGAAAAAACATGTCTGGATTGTGTGCATACTTTGAAGATGAAAATTTCACACCTATCAAGAGGCAACAGAGGAGCTGAAGATACTCGGGTTGCGTTTTTTTGTTTTTTTTTTTCCCCTGTTGTATAAAGTTGTGGGTGGTAGCAGTGGTGGGGGGAGCGTGGCTTTTTTTCTTCTGTTTTTGGTAAGCACATCTTGATATTGCTAAATTCTAAGGTATTTTTAAAACTAAACGGAATGGTTTTGTTTTAATCACCTGATGCCAAGTGGAGTTTCACCCTCCCGCTTCCCTAGAACCTTCCGTGTGCTTCCCAGTAAAGTTGAAAGATCAAATTTATTCTCTTTGTAGGTGGGTGAGCATTCGCACACCCAGACGTAGCCATATATATTTCATACACCTAAATATGAAATATACATTTTAAAGATGCTTCACTCACTCTCCTTCTGTTCACAGAAGCCCAAAAATGTATGTGCCAAAGGGACACTTACAATGGACTTCAACCGAGCGAGGAGAAGAGGGCCTTATTATAAGGTATCTGGCTATGTGTGTAAAAGGCCTGTTTACTGAGCTCACATTTATCTGTCTGATGCCGGTTCAGGTGCTAGACACAACTGCCCAGACTGCGAACAGCAATTAAAACATACTGTATTTCTTATAAGAAATGGAACTACAAGTTGTACCTCGCATCCACTTTATTCATCTTACTATTCACATGGATCACACATGTAAACCCCTCTTCCAGGCTGTAGATCTATGTGATAATTAGGAATACAGTCAATTTCATTTAGTTTCTCTTTGGCTTCTGAATTCAAGTTAACTGTGGTTAAACAAGCCAGGTTTGCATCAGTGGGACACATGGGACCTAGTATTCTAAGCTAACCAGTTATTTTGGTGTCAGTGAAACCCAACTTTGCTGGGCCCTTTTTCTTTTTTCAAAAGATTTTATTTATTTGAGAGAGAGAGAGAGCAAGCAAGCACACAGAAGTTGCAGGGGCGGGGCGGGGGGGGCGGTAAGGCAGAGGGAGAAGCAGATTCCCGGCTGAGCAAGGAGCCTGATGTGGGACTCAGTTCTGGGACCCTGAGATCATGACCTGAGCTGAAGGCAGATGCTTCCCTGACTGAGCCACCCAGGTGCTCTAAGTGTTTTTTTCTTTTTAAAAATGAAGTCCACCACACCTTAAAAATATAAAAATATGCAATTTGTCCCCCTCCATCAAGGCAGGAGCTTGGGGCTGGGACAAACCGACATGGCCCAGAAGTGCATGGAGTGTTTCCTGCTGAATTTTAGGTCAACCTTCAAGATGGGCACCTGTGTTCTCAGCTTACTGACAGGAACACTGAGGCTGCAGAGATGACAACCTGTCCCAGGCTGCAGAACCACCAGCTGTGAGGCAGGGACTCAAACCCAAGTCTGCCTGCCTTGGGGCCCCAGCATGGCTTCAAGGCTGGCCTCATGCCCAGGAAGGGACTTATAGGGTTGGGAGTGGGGGGTGGGGAGGCGTCAGCGCACGAGGCCACGGGAGGGCGCAGGTGGAGGAACGGCCGTGGCTCGCTCCTGGAAGAGCAGAGGGCGCTGCGGCTGCCCTGCCCCTGGGGGGGGCACGTGCGCCCCATCCACAGAAGCACTTGATGATCAGCTCCCTGGACAGAACTGGTGCGTGCCCGGTTCGGGGACAAACACCAACACCAGAGCCGGTCCCGGGAAGTGTAAGTAAAGATGAGACGCCTTCACCGTCTCCTTCTGTGGCTTTACGGTTGCTCTTATTTCTGGGGAGCAGAGAGATGCTAATGTTGCAGGCGACACAGCAGAAAGCCCCGGGCTTCGTGTCACTGAGTCTGAACTCTGAATCCCGCATCTGCCACCGACTGACAACGATGATGACGGACACCCTTCAGAACTGTGTTAGGGTTTTTAGGTTCTTTCTCACTCAATCCTCCGATCTCCTCACGAGAATAGGAACATGACGTACGAAGACACTAATACTTAGGAGGCGCTAGTCCTTGCCCAGAGCCACGGAGCTGGGAATGGGGATTAGGAATCTGACCCCGAGGCCGTGCCCTTAACCTCTCCGCTACGCCGGCTGCAGGAACGGTTCCCTGCCTCCCCCATGCTGTCCCGCGCCTGTAATGAAGTGTCCAGGGGAACATGAGAAAACCCAACCTAGAAGCAGCTGCAGAAGAAGTGTGCCAGGACCAATGAGAGTCTGTTTTCTGACTGGTCCGCTCCCCTGACAACAAACGATTACTGTGGGATGTTTCCTGATGAAATACCGCTTAAAGCAACTGTTGATCGACGGGGTCTTGCTTAACTGCTTCTCTCGCTTGCAGGGTTCTCTGCTGCGGTGGTGCTCGCTGACCAAGTCTCACCCCAATGACGACGATGGCTAACGTCACCCGACTGAACAGCCATCTAGCTGTGCTGCCTCGGTCTCGGGAATGGTAAGGGAAGCATGCTGCCACAGCGGGCCGACCACGTGCTCTGAAGTCAGGCTGCCCCTGCGGACGTCCCCTCACCCCTCGCTCCAGGCCCTGTCCACTCACCTAGGACGTGGGACAAGAGCACCCGCCTGCCGGGGTTGCCGGCAGGAGTCAATGGGACCGAGTGTGTGAAGAGTGCGGCAGGACCCAAGACACGTGCTGGGACTGTGTCCCTCTGCCTTTACTAGGATACATTTCCTCAGGTTCTCTCTGGAACAAGAGGACTGAAGTCAGGGCCTGTCAAACCGGGTCCCAGCCTCAGGGAGAAGATCGATCCAAATAAAGACACCTCCTGACACACCAAAGAAACTCTTACCCCTCATCTACTTGGCTCTAATTTTCCAGTCTATCCTTAGGCTTAAAAAACAAATGAAAAATATTCAAATAATTAATATTTCACAGACAAAACTGCATTCGGCAACATTAGACACACGTGTCTGTGACGTCCTGGGCATGGGTGCGGTGGGGTGGGGAACGGCAGCCAGAGAAGCAGCAGGAAGGATGCCCCGGGTCTCTCCGTGGAACTGCCTGGATAACACAGATTTTTCTCCCTAGATCTCAACGTTACTCCTCTTCCGAGTGTGGCAGCCACACTAAAAAATGGATGAACTAAGTGTGGAAGCCTGCTGCGGCCCGGCGGACTTCCGGAATGGACGGCAGCCCATTAACCGGATGAGACCAGCAAACACATCCGGAGGCAAAGAGAGAAAACCACAATCAAGGTTTGGCCTCCCTTAACGTTCATGGTCCCTTCGATGCCTGCTTGACAGAGGAACGAACTATCTCACGCACAGTCTCCATCACCCCAAATCAAGAAACGAGTGACGTCTGTTCACAAGTACAATAAGTAAGAAACTCACCTGGCTTCCGCACCGGCCCCGTTTGAAACAGTCATCCCTTGTCAGAACAGACAAAATCTCTTCCATCTTCATCTCAGAAATGCTGTGAAGGGAAGAGCACATCAAGGTAAACTTTCTGTTCTTCCAACATCTGGAATCTTGATGCATAAAAATGGCCTGTTCTCCAGCTAATTGGATATGAAGCAGAAGCTACACGTTTACAGGAAATAGTTTCCTAAGCCTTCAGAAGGAGTTTGGAATGAAGGGACCTCTGTGACACGCCAGGGACAGATAGGGTCATACTTCCAACACTCTCCATCTTCTCTGCTGACTTGCAAACAGCCTACATTTAAACTCTCCTCTGTAGGGATCATGCCATTATTTTTTTTTTTTTAAGATTTTATTTATTTATTTGACAGAGAGAGATCACAAGTAGGTAGAGAAGCAGGCAGAGAGGGAGGGGGAAGCAGGCTTCCTGCTGAGCAGAGAGTCTGATGCGGGGCTCGATCCCAGGACCCTGAGATCATGACCAGAGCCAAAGGCAGAGGTTTAAGCCACTGAGGCCCCCAGGCGCCCCACGTCACTATTTCTTAATACATCTCAACACGGAGGCCTGCTTATTTCTAGACTACCTTGACTTGGGCAGAAGAAGAAATTAAAAAAAACATTTCTGATAGTCTCTTTAGTTTTAAACTTTAAAAAAAGCCAGGGGTGGGTCTAGGTGGCCAAAGGTCCTTAACCGCTGGGGTCAGCTCCTCAGGGAAGGCTGAGCAGTGACCCCAGCACCAGAGCTCTCTTCTCCTCCACCCAGAAGGGCATCTACCTTCTCACCTCTTAATTATTAGGGGTGGGGGACAAATGACCTCTGATGGACCCAGAGCTGTGGACAAACAGCTGAGATCACAGTTTGGGCTTCTGCTGTGAGCAGAAGCCACCCTGAGCCAGGCGAGGAGGCCCACCCTGCCTCGTGGGGGGATGGGGAAGCCTCCGCGTCCTCCACGGCACTGAGGCTCGGGCGGTGCGTGCAGATTCAGGTATTAGGGCCTGAGGAAGAAGCAGGAGCTGCTGAAAACATACTTCTCAGGGAGGGGAAAGAAAAAAAAAAGGGAAGGAGGAGTTCTGGGCAAAAAAACAGATCATAAAAAGATAAATGATTTTCTTGTATGTTGTTTCTTTTCTTTTTTTTTTTTAATATAACAGCAAACTAATACATGAATGGCAACTTCTCACGTGGGAGAAGACAACCCCCGCCTTTCCCCCAAAGGTTATTCTGACAAAGCTATGAATGAAAATGTCACGTCTCTGACAGCGATTTACCTGAAATGTGTCACCGCTCCCCCGAACACCCCCGGCCCCCGCCCCTCCACATTCTCTCCGCTGCCAGCTCGCTGCCAGCTCGCAGGCCTAGGGATAGTGAAATCTTTTTACAGCAGGAGGAGTCAACCGGAGAAGGCAGAGCAGGAAGGTGAGGGTAGCAGTTTGGGGGAAAGGGCTCATGATTTCATGGAAAATCTGTTTTTCATGTGAGAGAGCAAAGCTGTGGCTGCCGAGCTTGCTTCTTGTTCATGCCTGGAAATCTGAAGGTGAAAACAAGGCCAGGCCTCTCTTTCTCTTTACCTAGCGGACCTGCCTCTATTCGTCACTTCTTTTCTTGAGGGGAAAAAAAGGAAAAGTAAAAGGAACTAAGGACTTGGGGGTGAGCTCTGGAAGCAGGGAGAAGGAAACAAAGAGTAAGGTCATTCAGAGTCGGGGATACAAAGAACTACACACACCACCGAGGCCGCGCGTTCTGAAAGGAGGTGGCGCTGACACTGTGGCCAGGGCCCGGCCCTGCTGTGTGTGTCCAATGACAGCGCGGGGCGCCCAGGCACCGTGAGTGAGCGGGAGCGGACAACGGACTGGAGTGATTTACAGTTTAAAAGGGCCTCCCTCCTATTCTAAGAAATCGCTGCTTCTGAGGAACAAAGCCAATCTACTCTGCTTGTTTATGGTTCTATCAACAGATCTGATCTACCCTGCCTTACCACGAAAAGAGACAGAAAAATAAATTCAGGGAACTGTCTCATGCCTGATCTAAGAAATACACGTTTTGATGAAGCATTTACATTTTAATAAACCAATGACGACTTTCATTAGAAACACGTTTAAAGGAGAAGCGGAAAACAGGGAAGAAGTTGGCAAACACCACGAAGTCAGAAGGATGCAGAAACAAAGTCCTGGGCATCTAGACAGAGGTGGCAACGGCCCAGGGCGCCTGTCTCTTGCCCCAGCTGCTAAATTACACTGTCAGGGCGAGTTCCACAGTGCGCGGTGTACGAAGGCAGGCGGCGACTTGCTGTGATGGCCCTTGCTGCCGTGAGCCTCAGCCTGCCTTCCTGAATCTCCACTCTAATTCATCAGCCGTCCCAGCATCCTGCTGCCTGGCTCCCAGGTTCTGAGGCAAAACACACACACACACACACACACACACACACACACACACCCCTTTCTTCTCCATTTTTCTTTTTTTTTTCCTTTTTACTATTCAGCAGTGTACCTTTTGTATTCCAAAGATGCTCAAGTCTGATTCCTTCCATGGCACACTTTGTAATCAGGTCTTATGTGTAATTTTTTTGTGTTAAGTCAAGATACCCAACATCCAGCCCTTCCTCAGAAATCAAGAAGCAGGAGCCAAGGCTACAGCGTAACTCCGACTAGTATTTCGGGGGAGGGGGTGGTGTTGATTACATCAGGCCCACAGAGCAGTCAGTAGATGAGGGGCACAAAGTTCAGTGGGGGCATTTTCAGAGCAGAAATGAAAAGGACTCTTTCCCGCGGGAATGGATGGTCTCTCCACAAGAGACCCGACTCTCTTCCTCTGGGTACTTCTGTCTTGATCTTTCTGAGCTTCCCCTGCAAGCCCAAACACTCAGACCCCCTGGATCACGGCGCTTCTCCGGAATGGGCACATGGCTGTGCTGGATCCCCCAGAATACCGCTGGCACAGTTTTTTCCAGAGACGGTCACAGAGAACGAGTGTACTTCTTGTAGCTTTAAAATACACGTGGCTCACTAATATCCAGGCTAGTGCTATTATTTTCCCCTTTCGAATTTAGGTTTGCGTTTGAGCCTTTCCGAGCCATCAGCCTGCACGCGTTTATTAAAGGCAGCTTGAGAGCAGACAGGCAGAGGCACCCAGGCGCGTGCTGTGGGCCTGGGCAATTATCGCCTGACTTCATGACGCGGGCACCCACTTTTCTGAGCTTATCAGGTCCCAGGGAATGAGCCCAGGAGAACACCCAGGAGCTGAGGACAGGAAGGAGTGGAGAACACAAACCCGTAGGTCTGGAACAGAAGGTGGGGGAGGACAGCTGAGGGTAAAAGACCGCCGAGGAGCAGTGACGACAAATTCGCCCGCGGATGCCGACACCCGGCTCTGAAAACACTTTCTGGAGGTCGACAAGTTCCCGTGTCCGAGGAAGACAGTCGCAGTGCCGTGACAGGTTCCCAGCCTGTGAGGACACGGTAAGGGAAAATGGGAGAAGGGGCTACGTCCGTGGGTTTTCATTCCACTCCTCGGTGTTTCCGGGGTCCAGCTGCCCAGTGGAGGGCTGTCCTCGGGCCTGAAAGCACGCACAAAAAGGACGGCCAGCCCCCCGCCCAAAGGCCTGGGAAACCAGCTGGAGAGGAAGCTCTTGGTGAAAAGGGATTGAACTGACGGTCAGCATTCCTCTTGCAAGGGAGATAGAATCTGCAGTCTTCCCAAAAGCAACAGAAACCACTCTTTCAAAGTGAAATTGTTTTAAGATAATAAAGGACAGGAAAACCCAAGCCGGGATTAGTTGGACCCACTCAAAATCGCCACCAGGTTCATCAGAAGTGGGGTCCTGCCTCCCTACCACTGAAGGGTGTGCGCAGGCATATTTTCTGAGGAAGCCCCAGCCCACAGATGTTCCCACGAGCAACCCCGAGACAGCGGAGTGCTGTGGAGTCGGCCCCGGGTGCAAGGAGGGAGGGAGGACGACTTTCTCTGCAGGTGCTGAGAGAGACAGGGAAAGGGACAGCTCTGCAGGTGGGGACTACGGCAGATTGGTGGGGACGGTCACAGGCAGCTCTCCGTGCGGGTGGCCTGCGCTTGGTCCCCAGACCAGGTTCCATGCCACCTGTCTGGAAATCTCAGTCCAGGTGCAGAATGCCGGGATTCTGCCAGCCCTGTACTTGAGAGAGAGAAGACCTCATCGTTTACTCGGTGCTTCTCCTGAAACACCGGGCTGGGCCAGGCGAAGCGCCACCAGGCAAGGTCCTCGGGTGCCAGCGTCATGGCGGTTCCCAGCAGCAGGCGGGCAGGCGTCCGGGCACCCGGGCACGGCAGGAATCGTGTCCCACCCTCCTGGGCACACACACAGGACTCTTCTGTGCCTCCAGAAACACTTTCCACATCACTGTGCTACGTGTGAGCAGAAGAAACGCTTGTAAGTCGACGGCGTGAAAACCGCACGCCTTCGGCAGCCCATTCTCAGGGCTTCTTACTTCAGCCGTCGGAGGTTGTACAGAAAACACGATGAAACGCTCATTTCTGTGACGCAGGTGACTTGCTCGCTCCCAGCCAGGCTGAGACACTCTTCTCCAACTCTGTTTCGCTTGTCCTTCCTGGGCGAGGTCAGGGTCTGCTGGAGGCCCCGACTGCCCTCCCCGCGGTCGTCGAGCTGGCAGGCCAGGGCAGGAGCAGGGCCTCGCTCAGTGTGGCGGCTGCGCACGAGACGGAGGCCGCACAGCCCGGGCTGTGAAGGGGTGCGCGCGTCTGGGCTGTCCCGAAAATGCTTCCTCCCTGCGTTTATTTTCCTGGGGGAGGGGGTGCTGTGTGATGAGTCAAAAATACTACTTTTTTCAAAGACCAATCCCCTTTAAACGTACAAAATGTTGAGCGTAAAAATAAAAACTGTGAATAAGGAAGGTCTTCAAGCGACTGGCTGTGAGGGCCGTGCACACGTTCCTGACAGAAAGGGGAATGAAACACAGACCTCTCTCTTACAGAAAAACCAAGCGCAACAGATCGCTCGTGACTTAGTCTGGCAACACAATGGAAATTGTCATGTGCTGACGGGATGAAGGGTTTTGGTGTTTGCCACTGGCTATTCTGGGACTCATTTAGGGATCACAAGGGTTAATGGCTCTCCGTCAGCTTACAAGGCCCATCCACTGTAAAGGCGACAGAAAGTTAATTAGGTGAGATCAGCCGAAACCCCGTTCAGGTTTCTGACTCACTTGATTTTGTGAGAAGCCAACGAGTTGACATATTCTGCCTCCGAAGGAGCCAAAATGAGCAGGCTGCTCCCACGGCAGCCAATCCGGGCGGTTCTCCCGATCCGGTGGATGTATTCAGCAGGTGACGACGGCGCGTTGTACTAAAAAGGGTAACAAAAATGAAGCATTCACAGATCAAGGGATTGCCATTAATTGGAAGTGCAATACCCCTCACCTGCCTCCAGGTATCCCAAGAATTAAACCCCGGTGCTATGGTTACCCTCACGCAATCCCAAGGAGAAGTCACTCAACCCTGAAACCCCCGACTTCACTGGAAATAACGAGGCTCTGACGTGCAAACGTGAACAGCGGCCAAGTTTCCGACGAGCGAGCCGCCTTCCTGTCCCAGTATCTCCTTTGTAATTTTACTTCTCCACAGGTCTCTTCACTTTCCTATCTGCATCTTTTCACCGCGGTGACCGTGCAAGGTGAAGTCCGAGGCAGGCGGGGCACCCTTCTGCAGGACGGCCGTGTGACCTTGGCCTGCTTCCATGGCAGACACAGCAGTGGGCAGAGGCCACAGAGGACTGGACGGGGTCAGGAGGAAGGGGTCGGCTGCTTGGATCAGAGTTCACCTTGTGGCCGGGCCGCCGGGAGCTGGTCCGCGCCACCTCACTGCACTTCCACCCAACCCCAAAGGCATGGAGCTGTGGGGCAGCTGAGAGGCCGGTTCCCCTCCCACAGGGACTTGCTCCCGCTCCTAAGGACGGCATTCCTGACTTGAGGGACAAGGCAGACTCCAACTCGGCAGAACACATTATTTCCGATTCTCTAGGGCGTTAACTTTGTCACCATGAAAAGCAATTGACCATCTAACCACCGTTCCTTTTTTGTTCTTGCTGCTACATGACTCAAAGACCCGAGGCCCGAAAGGACTACACTGTATGGGGGAGGGGCGGGCGCCTGGATCTAATCAATCTCACGATACAGAAAAGCTCTGAATGAGCAATTTCCTGTCTACCTCCTGCCCCCCATATTGAAATTATCCTGCCTTTTTATCTTTACTTTGCTCTGTGGCCATCAGGAAAGCAGACACAATGCCTCCAGTCGAAAGGCGGCCGTCTGCAGCAAGCAGATCAGACTTCCTAGCCAGTGACAGGCATGCAATTCCACTAAAATGTGAATAAACCATGACTCACGTAAATGGGGCACGTGTCCTCTGGCCCCCACACAGAAGGGCATAAAAATACCATTCTGCAGACTAACGAAAAGAAAAAACAGAACTGAAACCACTAGACTCTAGTGCTAACACCTGCACCCTCTGGCAAAGCGTCTAAGGCTAGAGGTACGTGTAAGACGCTGTCAGGGACTTAATTGCCCCCTGCAGGTCAATGTACATGGACACGGCTCTCAGGACAGCTGAGCCATCTCCTTCTGGACACAATGAGACGTCCCAAGGGCCCTGGTAATTCCTGTTATTCTCACATTGCTGGAACTTTGTGTGTGACACGCATTAGTCTGGGAGCAGGGCAGCCCGCCCCTCCCTCCCACGACTGCTCAGTCTGGCTGGCTCCCTGCAGCGGTGGGGTGGGCTGGCTGGGTTTGGGAAAGCTCTCAGGAGCAATGAGCAGAGAAGGCTGGTTGCTGCCTGGTTACCAGGGCAACACCCAAGAGGCTAATAATAATTATTCTACTTAAAGCCAACGCATCTATTCGCAATCATGTATTCCCGCCTTGAGCTCACACCTTAACAACTAAAAAATTACCTGAACAATCCACGTGACCTGAGGGAGATCTAAGCCCCGAGCTGCAACATCCTGCAAAACAGAAAAGAATATAACTTAGGACTGTGTTTCTGAACCATTTTTGGGCCATGGATCCATCTGATAATCTAATGCAAACGATGAAGGCTCACCACCCCCCAGGGTGCACAGGCGGGTGTACGTACACACGCACATGCGCACACACGTGCGTGCGCGCGTGCACACACACACACACACACACACACAGTGGCATACAACTTCAGAGACCCACTGAAGTCCATCTGTGCTCGAAATTAGAACTCGGATGTAAGTTCTCCAGAACCTGTTGGTCAGGCGTCACCACTCACTCTATTAGAACGTAAATTATTAGTCCGAGAACTGAAGTCACGGTCAGTTGTGTCATGTAAGAACCCTGGAAACTTCTAGCATGTATTATTACTTTCACATTTGCTCTGAAGAACCACTCTACAATCAATGCTTTCGTGGGTTCTTTCCCCCGCCCCTTACCAATCGGCAACGCCTGACAGCAACATGGCTTTGAAACGTGTGGAAGGTCACCCCGAAGTATTCCCTTGTGGAGGGGAGTTGCAAAGTCTTACTGAGGACTTCTCAGCCTCGGAGAGCAGCAGAGACCAAGTAACATCCCACCTCTTCTGCCAGTTTCATCACAACACCAGCCAAAGACTTACTTAACCAGACACGAACACTGTAAAAGCAAAGGAGATGTATTTTTTCTCTCAGCTCGTTGCCACCCAAGGAGCACAGGCTCTCTGCTCTTGAGTGTCTGCCTGACCTTTCTGGCAGGGACTAGAGAACGGGTATCTTCCGGTGGTTAGGGACAAGCTGATGTGGGGCATTCGTGTCCAAGCACGACAGTCCTAACACGGTTGCCCGCAGTCGGCGCGTCCTGAGTGCTGACTCCGCACCGGCAGCGCGAGTGCTTCACTGTACTACCGCGAGGCTCTTCCCAGTGACTCTGCAGCAAGACGACCCTCCCACCTGACGGACGGGAAACCAAGGTTCGTACAGATGCGGTAATCTGTCCAGAGACACACAACTAAGAAGCAGAGGCAGCCCTCAAATCCCCGTCCACTTTACTTTTCCAAGGCCGTATTGTGCTATTCCTTCATCGAAAAAGATGCTGCATCCCTCATTAGCTCTCGGTGGGAACGCAAAATCGTCCAAAACCCTCCTGTGGGAAGTCCGGCAGGACCCAGCGAAACTACATTTGCACTTGCCCCCTGACCCAGGTGCAATCTCACTCCTAGGACTCCATCCCAAAGACACTTCAAAAATACAGCACACTGCATGCACGAAGCTACTCATTTTGGCAAAATCTGTAATTGCAGGTGTGGAAAAGCCCTAGCGTCTGGCCGGAGACGGGCGGACTGAAAGACCGTCCCACTGACCCCTTGCAGCAGCGTGTCCCACAGCTGAGACAAGAGGGAGGCACCAGTGTACGGAAACGGAGAATCGCTACCATCTACTCTGGTGTGCAGAGTAGGCCTTTGTGGGAGAAATGAGGGAAATAAAATGTATCTGCTCACATTTTGAAAAGAAATAACGGAGGAGAAAAGCCAAAAGCTCACAGAACGTTACCTGTCGGGGACGGGACTGGGGGCGGCAGACAAGGGTGGAAGCCGGACTTCCTTGAAGGGACTTTAGTAATTTTGACGGTGAAACGACGTAAATGATTTGACATCACTGGAGAGGCAACGAGCTGTCGTGCCACAGGAAGGACGCGGTGCTGCCTATGGGGTAATTCTTGCCAAAAACCAGAGCAAATCTAACCAGGTACGGAGCCCCAACTCCTAGTCCACAGGACTTGTGGGGGAGGGAGGAGGACGTTGGCCCAACAAGAAGTCAAATCTGGAACGTGGAGTATTTTAAAGCATGGACAGCCTGGTTTCTTCCAGAAAAAAGTCCAAAGAAAAAAAAGAGGAGGGTACCAGAAAACAAGACATCAGATGCGTAGGTGGATAAATGGAGGAAGGGAGAGATGGCCGGGGGGCCCATGGCCGGAAGGAGGCTCGCCGGAACTATCCGCTGCGGCGGTCTCTGGGTAGAAGGACTGCGGTGGTTTTCATGGTTCCCTTTGTGTTTTCCTGTATTATTTGCCCATTATTTCCTCCCGAGTTTTTATCTAGAAAAATTTAAACCCCAAAGTTGGAAGAATAGTACGATGAGCTCCCATGAATCCTTCACCCACATCTAGCAACCCCCAGTCTGTGCGCATCCGCTTTCTTTTTCTCTACGCACATATTCTTCTGAGCCCTTCGAAAGAAAGTTGCAAATACCACTGATGTTTTATCCCTAACTACTGTAGCATGTCACCTCCTAAGTGAAAGGACCTTCTTCCTCACAAGCACAGTACCGGCATCATACCTAAGAAATTAAATATTAAACTTTTTTTTTTTTAAAGATCTTATTTATTTGACAGAGAGAGCGATCGAGAGCACAGGAACACAAGCAGGGGGAGAGGCAGGCAGAGGGAGAGGGAGAAGCAGGCTCCCCGCTGAGCAGGGAGCCTGACGCGGGGCTCGATTCCAGGACCCTGGGATCGTGACCTGAGCCGAAGGCAGACACTTAACCGACTGAGCCACCCAGGCGCCCCAAATAACATTATTTCCTAATAATCACCTCATATTCAAATTTCTCCAAAGGCACCTAAGATTGATTTTTATGGTTGTTTTTCTTGCCCAACTCAGGAACTGACTCATAGATCATGCATTCTGCTTTTATTACTGCCACCTCTCACCTCTAGACTTCCATAATCTAGAATGATTTCCCTGCCCTTAATATTTAGTTATTTGGTTTTTTGACAACTCAGTTTTGAAGGAGTCCAGGTGTCTTGAAGGACATCCTAGAATCCATGTCTAACTATGTCCTCGTGGTAAGATCCCGGTGAAGCTTTCCCGTGGGTGTGCTTCCCAGGACTGGATGCCAGGAGAGACCGAGGGCAGCCTGTCCGGCACTGGGGGGAGTTGTGCATGACCCCCCAAGGATGTGGCTTTCATGTGAAGGGACCTCTCTCCTTTGCAATAACCAGTAAGCTAGGGAGTAAAACTTTGAGACTGTTTCCCAAAATTGTTCGCCCAGGGGCTTCGGTGTCTACTGCCGCTGCCTGTCCGCATCTACGTCTGCCCCGGTGGCAACAAACGGATGGCTTCCGAAGTCTGCCATTCCCTTCTTCCACTTATTTGTTTATCTATCTATTTATTTTTAAAGATTTTGCTTATTTGAGAGAGAGAGAATGAGAGCGAGCGAGCATGGGAGGTGGGGTGGTTAGAGGGAGAAGCAGATTTCCCGCCGAGCAGGGAGCTGGATGTGGGGCTCCATCCTGGGACTCCGGGATCATGACCTGAGCGGAAGGCAGTCGCCCAACCCACTGAGCCACCCAGGTGCCCCTCCTTCTTCCACTTACTAGCTGGCACTTTTCGGTAAAGCATAGCTTGCCTTCCTCCCCCCTTTGCATGCAAAGAGCTTTCCTGGAGAACAATAACCCAGAGAAATTCCCCACGGGAGCTCACCGAGATAGCCTCGTGCGGTGCTGCCCGGCGCCGGGGGCAGAAGCCGAGGAGGACACTGGCCACCATCATCTAAGCCACCGGTGTGGGAGGACCACGCAGGGCAGGTCGGGATTGGACTGCCTTTGCTCCAACTACGCCCGAGCCGGCGGGGTTCCTCTGAACGGTGGCTAGGCTGCATTTCTTCGGTGTTAACTGGGAGTTTAATGTACTAAGTGCATCAACCAGCCACGAAGTGTTTTCAGACAGCTCCCACTGCCCTGAGAGCGGAGGGCTGATGTTCCAGAGCTGGAGTCTTTGAGAACACAATTTAGAGAGTTCTCTGTCTTAAAGGGGAGCAGGCACTGCTTTCTACACTAACCACAGTTGATGTCTTTAGAAAACCTGACGGGTTCTTAAATCTGCTAAGCTCTTGTTAAGAAGTGATTTATTTTACTTAAGTGTTCTGCAGTGGGAGATGCGTGTAGACAACGGGCTGTCTAAGCTTTACAGACAGGCTTTGTGAAAAATTTAATGCTCATCGGTTTTGTAAATTCAACCAAGAAACACAGATGAAACTCTAAACCAGCATATGACGTTCGTGGGGCTCACGGAGCACAAACACGCTGAAGCAGTGGGGAAGGATGCCGGCAGCCTTCTCGGGACTGTTCGCGGCTCCATTTCCCGCTTGGCTGATCTGGCTCGGGGCGGTGGTGGGGGGTGCTGGCCGAGACACCATCTTCCCATCTCCCACCACTTCTTGTCTCAGGGTGAGGACCCTCACTGACAGCCACCCTAGCTCAGCTGTCACCCGGACACTTGTGGAGGTCCTCCTTCCTAGTCTCAGCCCAGGCTGCCACAGAGAATGGGACAAAGGGATAACCTCCATGGTCCAGGAACACAGAGAGCGGGACTCTACCATGCCGGTACAGCCATACCACCCGGGGCAAGTCAACGCAGCTCCCTGACCATCAGTTTGCCCGCCTATACGATGGCTGTGAGAGTCCCCCTGTTAATCTCATGTCATGAGGTTGCTGCGAAGACCGAATGGGCCTGCTCGTGTGAAGGGCACTGAGAATTCCAAATCCAAGGATTGCCTCCCACGACGAGGCGGGAATCGGCAGGGTGGCAAACGGGCAGTGGTGTGATTCTCCTTGCACCCACCACGCGACCTGGGCAGAGGACAGCAAAGAAGCCAGGTCTGCTCCACTGTCTGGACTGCCACTAGCCAGTGGCACCGGATCGACAGGAAACTGACCTGCCCGAGGCTCAGCAAAGGCTTCGGTGTTCTGCCTTCTTAGAACCTCAGACCCAGCCCAACTGTATTCCTTTGAGCTAATTAGGGCAAAAGAATTGCTAAAGTCAGTTCTGAAAGACACTCAACAGTGAGGCCTTGAAGGCCAGGGCTTGACAATTGGCTGCCTCCACGAGACCAAGGAGTACAGATGGAAGGCAGCTTGCTCAGGTGCCAGCCTGTCAGTTGGATTAAAATGACTCATTTATTTACCCAAGAACCTCACAAAGTGCTTTTACTAACAGGGAGAGGGGGCCTGCCGGCTCTCTGAGCAAGGGACGCAGCAAATTCGCCTCTGCCGCCTTCCCGGCCTGCCAAAAGTCATTATTGCTGTGTGTGGAAAGCCATCAGCGGGGTACAGGCCCCCGTTGTCCGGGTGACAGATTGGGCTGCGTAATCAGAGGAGGAAGGAGAGAGTGCAGAAGCTGTCAGAGGCGAGAGATCTTGGCTGGAGCCGCCAAAAAACTGGCAACATGAGTTAGCGTAACTGAGTAAACAGCCAACCATCTCCAAATGATCTTGCCATTAACACGAATGAAATAAAGTGGAAAAGATCAACTTTACCTCAAAAGCATGCCCCAGAGAAAACCAAGAAAGTCTACATTTATTGTTGGTGGTGAAGTGACATTCCCGTGACTCTCATGGCCTCACCTCCCAGCCTCCTTTGTCTCCCAGCCTCCTGGCACAGTGGAAATTCCGCAGGAGGAAGGGAGATTAAGAATCACACAGACAGAACAGTGTGCTTCAAGACAAAAAAAAAATGGAAAAGGTGGAGGAAAGCAGCACGGGTGGCTCAGGTGTCTTCCGAAAGAAAGCACGTGCTGATGGACAGCCGAGATGGAGGCCCACGGAGAACCGGCCCGCAGAGCGAGGGGAGCTGGGAGTGCCCCTCCGGGCCGGGAGAAAGGTGACTGCGCTCCTTTCTCCACGGACGACCAGGGAGCGCAGTGTGTACGACAGAAAGCCCAGGGCTGGACTGCCAGCCGGACGCGGAGCAGGAATATCATTTTCCCGTCACTCCGCGCTACTTCCCTTTATCGACTCATCCATACGACAATGGGGATGAAACCCACTGTCCCCTCCTTTGGCTCAGGGTGAGCTCTTCACCAGAAGCAGGAGGAAATATTCTGTAGGTAACCCGTATCTCCCATCAGATTCCTTTGATTTCTTAATTCCATTTAGGAAAGTGGGCTCGGAACTTTCAAACGGCTCCTTCCTGCTAATCCCTACTCCCTTCTCAACACGGCTTCTTAGATCTACTCCTCCGGAGAACGCAAGCTGACACTGGGAACGCGTCAGGAGCGCCCTTTCACAGACTGGTCTGTCCTGCCCCCACTGCCCTCTTGCTTCTGCCTACGCTTCACACCTGCAAGGCCTCACACAGTCACCGAGAACCCACAGGACACAAAGCCATGCACCAGGTCCTGAAAGGCCACATAAAATGAGAAAGGTCCTTGCTTTAAGATTGTTCATAATTAAGATGAAAGAAAACACACACACACACACACACATCCTTAACTGTTCCTAGTAACAGAAAAGTCAGCAGGGAGGAAAATGGATCGGGGGAGGGATTTTCAAGTCGAAACGAGCAACACTGGGAGCTTTTGAGTGGCTCCAGCACAGTTCCCAACTTCTCATACACAGAGAGCCAGTCTTCTGAGCTCGTTAAAACATCTTGGGATGAGGGGCCCCTGGTGGCTCAGTCATTAAGTGTCTGCCTTCGGCTAGGATCATGATCCCAGGGTGCTAGGATAGAACCCCCCCCATTTGGCTCCCTGCTCAGCGGGAAGCCTGCCTCTCCCTCTCCCACTCCCCCTGCTTGTGTTCCCTCTCTCGCTATGTCTAAATCAAATAAGTTGAAAAAAAAAATATATATATATAATATATATATATATAAAAAAAGATCTTGGGATGATAAATCAAAATGGAAAAAGGTACGGTATAAGGAGGAGGGAAAACGCCCCTGCCACAACAGACAGCATAAGTCCGCTCGACCCAAAGAAGCCCGTTCTCCATCTGCCCCGTCCTGCCGTGGCCCCCGCTCCTCATTAACACTACGGAGGCTCCTGGAGAGCATGCAGAGGCCTGGCAAGCAACAGGCTGCTTAAAAGGACACAGAGTGACAGCATTTCCGCATCCTCGCCACGATCTACTGCAGTGGGTCTCCTGTGCCTAAAGCTCTCGGGCACCAGAAGCTTCAGGCTGAAGCCAATGAACATGGCAGAACCAGCAGGAATTCAGAGAGGGCGAAGGAAGAGCTGCTCTCACCAGAGACCACGTGCTCGGTTCTGGGCTTAGAGATGACCGGAAATGAGTCCTCCCACCCCCGGGTGTTCTCTGGTGATCTTCACTGCACAAGGAAGACGACGTGAAGCTGGCGGAAGGTCAGCACACTGGAAGGTTCCTCGGCAAGCGAGCGAGCACATACCAAGAACCTTTAGTGACATCAGATTGAGGGCAAGTGAGAGTCGGCTTTCTGTGCAGCACCCGGGACTGGCGGGGGGCAGAGGGGTGGGGGTGCTGTGCTCTGCTAAGTCAGGGGTGCTCCCTGGCTGGCTGACCTCTCTTTGCCTGCAGGTGTCAACCACACGAATCAAGGGAAGTCATCACAGGCTTCTGACCCCACTGAGAATTACCTTTAAAAAAGAATGACCTTCACTTCCATGTAAAACCTACTAAAAAGACCAAAATCAAAACCAACCAAAACACTGAACTTCATATCCCTAGAGCCCACTTTGAGACCCAGAGCTGACCCATGTCTGTAAAAAACACCAGGAGATCTGAAAATTTTCCACCAGGGACAAACCCAACATCTTAAAGGTCAAAGATAAAACATTCTGTTCCTGTCTTAAATTCCCCCACAGAAGCTCCTACTGTTTCTGTTTCAATATGGACAACCTGTAACATTCAGCCCTCAGGTCCACCCCGCGTATGAAAAAGGGGACTTACTCCCACGAGCAAGCATAACGGACGGCACCACTCTCAGTCTTCAGAAGAAGGCAGGCAGACACTGGTGGTTTTCAACACTGTTTCTCAGGCCCCAATACTGACACATTCGGCTCACAAACACTGAGTATATAAGCGCACCTGCTCCGGGCCAGACACTGACATGGGACCGCAGACAAGACACAGTCCGTCCCTAGGGGGTCACGATCGTGGGGAGAGGACACTTAGACCAGGTGAGATGAGTAGCGTAAGTGCAGACCCAGTGGGAATGCCCGACGGGGGAAAACGCGGGCTCCCGGAGCTCACGTCCTTCAAAAACTGAAATTGAAGTGGGGGTCTTGGGAGGGACTCGTCCAAGACAGGGCGGGCTTCCCAGGCAGAGGGAATGCACGTGCGCAGGCCCCAAGGCCAGGAAGAGGACGGATGCTGCATTCAGGGGGTGGGAAGAGGAGCCTGCCTGGCTGAGGGCAGGGAGCAAGGGAGGAAGTGGAGACCCAAGGAACAGGAAGGGGTCAGGACCCAGGAAGTCTGACTGGACACCGTAAGGACCGCTGGCGAATTTGTCAGGTAGATCCCGTGGACTCATCTTCGCGTCAGACTCGTCCTTTGGGGGTGCGGGGGGCTCACACTGCATCTGATTTGCAGATGGGCTTTGCAAAGGGGGGGCACTGGTCGGACTCGGCCCTCCTCAGGAGGCAGGCGTGCCAGTAGTGACCATTCCCAGATCGGGACGACCAAGTCACAGAGCCACCGCTTGCCACATTCGTGTGAGAACTGGCACCCTGTGATAAAACGGGTGACCGGGTGGCCCCCTCCTACAGGAGAAGCAAAGCTGCACTCACTCGGAAACCCTGCCTTCAGGAAGGGAACAGTGCCCGCCGCCTTGAGAACTGAAGGCAGAGCAGAGGGTCCTTCAAATGTAACCGCACGGGCGCCTGGGTGGCTCAGCGGGTTAACATCAGCCTTCGGGTCCTGGGATTGAGTCCCATGTCAGACTCCCTGCTCAGCGGGGAGCCTGCTTCTCCCTCTCCCTCTGCCTGCCACCCCCCCGCGTGTGCACGTTCTCTCTCTCTCTGTCAAATAAATAAATAAAATCTTAAAAAAAAAAAAACACACAAAAAGTAACTGCACGAAGAAGCAAGGCCTGGACAGGTGAGCCGAGAGCCGACAGTCTGATCCGCCCGGCACTCGCCCCCGGGACAAGCCGGTTTCAGGGCAACCTTGGGACCGCACAGACAGGGACGTCTCAGACACCCAGCTGGGGGTTAAGTTGCATCATCCGAGACGGCACAAGGAGGGAAGATGCTTTAATCTCAGGAGCTGGCAACAACCATGGTGAAGTGAGTCCTCAGAGGCGGGGACACTGAAGGTGTGAGTTTTCAGCCTCAAAAGAGCACATCAGAGGTGCATCCAAGAGGCCAGCTCTGTGCCGGAGGCAGCGGCCACGCAAGCCCGCCGTGACAGAGGCCGAATGACCTGGTCCCGAGAACCGCAGGGCAAACGACAGTGTGAGGCAGCAGCAGAGAGGGTCTGGGCAAGCACATCTATTTTCCTTCTCAAAAAGGCGAGCAGAGGCAGGAGAGGGGTTCTCTCGCGAAGAGACTTTCTCAGCTCTAATTACTCCCGAAAGCTGTAATTTACACGTTTTTGATAGATAGAAATCGCCAAGATTCACACATTTTCAGACCAACAGCTGCCACTATTAGTGAGCAAATCGGCAAGACTTGCGCGGCGGCACAGTCAGGTGACACGCCAGAAGTGCAAGGCGACCGGCCATACCCTGAGGGGCTGGCTGCGGGGCGACCTGGCGAGAGGAACGGCAGGGGGGCCCAGCCTCCCGGTCGAGTGCAGGGGGGTACATACCGTACAAAGAAGGACGCCTGTCTTGGAATGCGAGAATTCTTGAAACACTGCTGTCCTTTCCTATAAAAACAAGGAAAAACACAGTCTTACAACTCTGAGGTCAGACCCAGCACAGTATGCTTAGACCCCATAACTCCGCCCGCTTCCTCCTGCTCGATCCATTCTTAGGCCCTGAGAGGCTTTGCCGAGAAAGAGGAAGAAGTAGGACGTTCCCATCTTCTCATCAGACCCTGTCCTTCCAGGACCGGACTTGGACTCTGACAAGGTAGTGGGGCTTTGGGGACCGGCACATCTCAGTAACACAGGGCCAGGGCTGGCGCAGCCTTCAGGAACGGCCGATCCCGGGAGCAGGCAAGGCCCAAGGCCACAAGTGACTGTACTCCCGGTTCCCAACTGAGAATCTGTTCTAAACACGTTTTTCTACAGGTGGTCCATAGGCGTCAAGAACCTTTCCTTTCCTACAGGGCAATGTTTAAAAAAATGAACTTTAAAAAAAATTGAAAAATTATAAAAACCGTATATTCTAACTGTAGAAAATTATATATTTCAAGTCAGAGGAAGAAAACCAAATCGTTCCCCCACTCAAAGCAAACAAACAACCACTGTCAGCAACCCCTTCTGGGCATGGGACCCAAGATGTGGCTTCTTCAAGAACGGCAGTGTGCTACTTCTCCTACTAACGTGCTCTCGCGCCAAGAGAACACGAACGCCCTGTCATGCCACTACGTCTGCATTCGGCTCAGTCAGTGCTCCATGACTGGACCTGGGCTGTCTCCGACTGTTCGCTATTACGCCCAGGGCTGGGATCAACACCTTCATAGATAATTTGTTGTACAGGTGTTTCATCAATCCCTTGGGGGTGGAACCCTAAAGGCGGTCTTGCTGCACCACAGGGCATGTCCACTCGAGAGGCCTGCCAGGGGCACACCCCAAGTGGCCCGAGCCACAGCACGGCGAACAGCTCAGACCTGGCCGTGTCCGTCTATCAGCAACGGAAAAGGAATACAACCAAAGCACTAAACATGGGTGGCTCGGGAGCAGGAACGGGGACTCCCTCACACCAGTCCTTCGCATGCATCTCCTGTGTCATCTGACTGGAGGCCCTGGGCACAGCGGGTAACGACATCAGCACGCACAGAGCACGAGCACGTCCTACATGGTGGCCTACGCTCCACAGGCCTGAACGTCACCTGATCTACACAAAACCCTGTGAGCGGAACTATCACCTCCCCCATTTCCAGATGAAGGCATCGAGGCACAGAAAGATGAAGTCACTTTTTGTCCAAAGGACACGTACACCGCAGAGGTTCGGACTGGCACATGGACCCAGGGGGCTGTGCTCCCGAATGGCACCCAGGCCTCGGGGAAGACAGCTGCATTTGCCCAGAGTGCTGCAGTCTTTAGAAGGATCATGTTTAATGGACCCATTGTAGAGTGAAAATTAGAAAAAGATCAGGAAAGCTCATAAAAGCCTGTGAGATGCCCTATGGACTAGACGTAATGTGTTCAGATTTGGGATAAGGAAAAAACTGCCAAACCCGGAGCATTCCTCACGCGATCAGGCAACAACTTCTTCCAATGGCAACTCCTCTCTAACACTTACAAACGCGGTCAGGACCACATCGACCCCAGCGGGAACATACTAAGGTCATGCGGAACAGCGGCCAGGCAGATGGGACTGGGACTGTGGGACGAGAATGCCAGTAAAACAGTATCTAGAGGTCCTGCCTCCCATCTTCTACCCACCTCATGAGAAGGCCGTGGAGGCTAGACACTTAATAAACAGAACAAGGGGCAGGCTGACCGTTTGGGAAAGAGCGAGAGCAGTAGTAAGGGCACCTACACCCCAGAGCACGCACGACCAGGTCCTACACCACGCGCGTGCTCTGCATTTACTCGCTGCGTCACCGCACTGACCCCATGAAGTACGGGCTAACTGGGGCACAGGGAGGTGGCACGCTCTCCTGAGGCCGCACAGCCGGTAGGCAGAGGCAGGACCAGAGCACGCAGCCGTGAGCGCCCTGCCGGACCACTGCCCTTCGAGTGTGAGGCAAACGGTCTGAGATAATTTCACTCAGAGCTTCCGCACGGCCTCTGCAAATTCCTAGATCCTCCCGGGCCCGGCGCCCGATCCCTTGTCATCCTTACGCCCACCCCGCAGAGGGTCTCGGAGGAATTCAAGACAGAGAGGACAAGGAACAAACACTAAATGGCATGAAATTAGGAAATCAACAAATCCAACTGGATTGGGGGCCTTGAAGCTGAAAACCAAGAGTGTATAAAATGCACAAAGGCTGGACTGTTCGGGAAACTCTACCCAATCTTGTGGTAAATAAGAAGCTGTGTCCTTGAGTGACCTTGAGCAAGCTCCCCTCTGAGGCTCCACATCCTTAATTATTAACACAGCAAAAGTGAGCACAAGAAGGGGCCTGGACTCGACTTTAACGTCTCCTTCGGTTCTAGAGATGCTGTGTGTTTTCAGGCTGGTTCCAGTCAAGTCTCGCTCTGACTCCTGGCCAGCTCTCCCTGTCTGAGCGCTTAGTCACCTCCTTCCAGGACAAGAAGGAGCTTGTCCCCCTTCCACGCCAGCGTGCCCCCCTCAGTCTGCTCTCTGCTAACTACCTCAATGGAACGAGGGCCTCGCGGCCCAGAACCTAAAATCAGGGAGCCACTCTCCTCTTCTTCCTGAGCGACATATCACTCCGAGCAGAGACAGAACGGAGACCCTGAAGCCCCTCTCCCGACCAAGGTGTTAAGAGCGAGAGCGCTGTATCTTGTTGACAATGACAGCAGTCGCGCTCAGCAGTACCATATGGGATCCACAATTTAGCTCCATTAATGCTCTTAATTTGAAGACATCAAGCCCTAATTACACACTGGGTACTAAAAAGGCAAAACCCTTCCCCGGTGCCAGCTACTTAGTGGTACTCTGTTGCCTTAACAGCTGGTTGAGGCAGACTCGGGCCAAGACAGGCCTGCGAGCTCTCTCAGGTGGAAGAGGGCAGCTCCCGGAGCACGAGCACACGGGAACAATGGACGCCCTTGCCCGGGCCCGCACAGCCGCGGGGTCTGCTTCCAGGGCCGGCGACTTGCCCACTTGAGGCACGTCCCCGCCCGGCCCGGTCGGGTCCAAGAGGGAGGGTGGTGCCGATCCCCGAGGACACGCTCCCGCTCCTGGGCCTCAGGTCGGCTCCCACCTCCGCTCCCGGGCCCCATGCGGTGCTCACCTCCTGCTCCATGTTGCCGTGCAGCCGCAGGAATTTTAATCGCGTGGACGCAGATGGCGGTGGCCCGGATGCTGGGGCCCCGAAGCGGCTCGGCAGGGTCTGCAGGAAGAGGTGGTAGTGGAACTCCACCAGCTCACAACTCGAGAAAAAGACGATCATCTTCTGGTCTTTTTCAAACTACATCAGTACAGAGGGGGAAAGAACCACCACATGTTTTTAAGATCAGGTGACACTAAAAGGAGTATTTCTCTAAAATACACAGTCCTGCCGGCCCCGATGTGGAAACACGGTGACGGACAGCTTTGAATTATTTCACAAAAATGACCCCGATACAACATGCTACGAAGCGGAGATGAGAGGAAGACCGCAGAGCTGTAACTTCAACCGGCTTTCCCGAATCTGAGACAGACACGCTGGAGGCTCTCTGCGCCCACCCAGGGCTCGCCGCGCGGGCAGCAGTCACGAGGCCTCGCCCTCCAGCCCCTGCACCCGCTACTCTGCCACGACCAGGCAAAGGTGGCACAAGATCTCGTAAACACAGAAATCCTGGCACTCTTCCAAAACCTCGAGCACAAGACTGTCTGCCCACATTCAGCATGTTTCTGCCGCCTGTGATGCTCCTGCTCTCGGGCCCGGAAGAGGATTCGGGCAGATTTCGTGTCGAGCGTGGCAGCTGGCTCTGACCTCTGGTTCTTTACCACAACCCCGGAACCGCTGACTGGTAAGGTCTGCATCAGCAAACACGGGTGAGCTGGAACACTCCTGTGAGTGTGTGTACGTGAGGGCCCCTCCGTTTGCGGCCATCAACACCTGACACGGGAAGACGGGACCTTCTTCCCTCGACTGAGCCAGGCCTCCCGTGCGCGCCTCGGGTGCGGGCCCACCTGGCACTTCTGCAGGATGAAGGCCGCCAGGGAGACGAGCCTCAGTTTGCTGGGAACCAGTGCCACGTGCTGATGGAGACTTTCCGGAATCGCAAAGCTGTCCGGCTCGCTGCCGGCTGGGAGAGGGGAGGCCTCCGGAACCGCTCCGCCCTGTGGCCCAGACCCGGCACCGTGTTCCTCCAGGACAGAAATCCTGACCGGGTTGAGCAAGCTGATATCAGCTAGCCGGGTCACACCTTGGAGCAAAAGTGAGAGGCAAAACCGGTGACAGGAACACACTGGGAGACTAATCTCGTACAGACAACCCCCCACACCACACGTCCAGGCTGATGAAGAGGCCCCCTATGGGAACAGCAGGGCCGCAGAGGCCTGCCCTGTGCTCGAGCTGGTGCGGGAGGCCCAGTGACTCCACACCAGCGTTTCTCAGCTCAGACCTGGGCAAGACCGCTGAGAGCGTCACTAATGGCGGTCTCTCCCCGCCCCCCAACCCCCTCAAAGGGTTCTATGGTTCTATCTACTGATAAAAGGGTGTCACAGGATTCTGTCAGGGGTTTTATAGGTTTACAGGCCTTCTCAGAAACTTTATTGTATTGACACACACTAGGGAATTTCCTTTCCTTTCCTTTTTTTTTTTTTTTTTAAGATTTTATTTATTTGATAGAGAGACAGACAGAAAGAGAAGGACCACAAGCAGGGGGAGCGGGAGAGGGAGAAGCAGGCCTCCTGCCGAACAGGGAGCCCAATGAGGGGCTTGGTCCCAGAACCCTGGGATCATGACCCAAGCCGAAGGCAGAGTCCTAACGACTGAGCCACCCAGGTGCCCCCCCACGAGGAACATCTAAGAGCACGAGGAAACGCGTGGCATTCCCCAAACTTCTGAGCACAGCATCATGGATTATCTCTCAAAATTAATGTGACTTAGGATACATTTTGAGAACTGGTAGGTACACACTGTCATAGGGCCAGTAAAACGAGTGAACCAGCCCTGAGAGCACACGAGCTGGGTTGTTTTGAGAGGGTAACTCTGCCAAGCCCCAGTGCCCCGTCTATGAAGAGCTCGAGATGTCCATCTCATGACAACGGAAAGACAGAAATGAACTTGAAGTCTCTGTTTAAGGGTCAGTGCTCTTTAAGAGGAAGGTAGGCTGGAAACGCCCACAAAACCCCTGACACCTCTGGACGGATGGGAGTCAGCCTGTGCTCTCCTTTCGCCCTGCCACGAGCTCGGGGAGCACTCTCCTAACGGACGTGGCTCTGGCCCTGCCCTGCCCCCCCCCCCAGCACGGGGAGCACGGGAGGGCCGACAAGACTAGAGGAGGAGGGCAGGACAGGAGTCTGAAAAGGCAGTGCCTTAGGGACACCTCCCTCCTCAGTCTGTCCCCAGCGTCGAGAACCACCGCAGACAAACGATGCCTGTTACATCTACGTCCGCCCTCCTGGTTAAGAAAAAGGAGCACTCCCTTTCAACTCACCTTCTGTGAGTGTCGCCGACAGTAAGACGTTCTGTCGTTTCTGGCACTCAGCATTTACAGCATTGAGTATCACCGTGATATCCTTTTCAAAACCCAAATCCAGGATTCTGCGGTTCCAAGAGAGGGAATTTTACTCCGCATGCAAAGTAAAGACTGCAGTAAGCCAGCAGAAGCAGCTCTTTTCCCCACTTTTCATGCTCCTGGGTGAGGCTCACCTGTCTGCTTCATCCAAAATCAGCCACCGTATCTGACGAAAATGAATGTTCTTCGTGGATTTGATATGATCCACCAGCCGCCCAGGAGTCGAGATAAGGATATTTATTCCTTTGCGGAGTCTGTTTAAAATTATGTATCGTGAAAGAAAGTAAATCACATGGGGCCAGCTGTATCAACAGAAAACACCGCAAACAGGCACGGGGGACAGATTCATGTCTAGCACCAACGTGCACGGTGTGAAGCCATGACAAACACGATGGCGGCTGAATGCAGAGAGAGAGCTGAGTTTTCATTTTCCTCCAAAGTTTCTCTTGTATAGAATGTAATTATTAAGATCCAAAATTACATTAAATTCATAAAACCTTATATTTGAAAGGAATCTGTAGTACATAAATCAATGCCCTTTGTCTGATCCGTGTATCCTTTCTTTCTAGAACAGTCCAGATCGATGATCATCTAAGCCTATTCTTGAAGGTTTCTGTGCCAGGGACCTAATGAGTTATCCCACACAAATGTGATCCAACGGCTAGAATGTTTACTTATACTGAATCTTTTTACTTATACTGGTAAGGTCTGCATCATCACACCTCCATACAACGGGGCCCAGCTTTGTTCTGTAGACTAGGGAGAATAAATCTAAGTTCTTACTCCCAAACATCCTTTATCCTGTATTTCCATAGCAATAAAAGGTTCCAATTTTTAGCTGAGTAGATTTCCAGCCTCTTTTGAAGTTAAATATGGTTGTGTGCCTACATTCGAGCATGGTACAGAAGGACAAAGACCACAAGTATCTTTGGAGGGAGGACGTAGGATTATCTTTGTTTCTGCCGGCAGGGAGCAAGATGTGATGGCTGGAGCTCTAGCAACCTTAAGACTATGGAGTACCCTTAAAAATGGAAGCTTCAACAGCACAAAAAGATAGAAGCGACTTAGATCCTGATCCCAGAGCACCATGCCGGCCTGGGATGGGCTACAGCAGGCTTCTTAAATGTGAAAGAAAAAGAAAACGGCCACATGTTTGTGCCACTGCTTTTTGTTTTGTTGTTATTTATGGCTGAATCAAACCTAACCAATACCTTTAGGTTTCAAGTTTAGTATTTACTCCTCGATTACAAACTGCACACACGTGACTGGGGGTTACTACCGCGCACTAAGATACGATACGATAAAGACGTTTCAAAAAGAATATAGACAAATTTACCTGTTGCAACATTTTCTCCTGACCCCCAATACCACTTCCAATACGGAAGTCCGAACCAGTGTTTTAGATATAAGAAGCAAAGTGTAGAGCGTTACGTAAGTTTATGACCTTGTTTTTGTGGAGCCAAACAAGACCCTAAACTCCCAATTAAACAAAAGAGAATCGCCAAGGGGGTGGACACGAAACAAGGGGGACTCAGGGGTGCTGGGGGGGTGTGTGGACAGAACTTGAGAGGATAGTGAGCACCGTTACCAACCACATCAGAAGGAAAACCCTTGTAGGTTCATCAGTATTTGTCAGGACAACACCGTCAAGAGGTGACCACTCCCTGCTGCCTCAACTGGTCCCTGCGCTTGGGGGACGAGGAAGCACAGTTTGAGATAAGGCTCTCTCCAGGGTTAGAAGGACCAAATCCCAGTGACTAGGAAGGCAGGACAGACAGATCCAATCAGGAATGGGTAACAAACAAGGGTCCCCATCCATACCTGGCCTTTTCTGATTTCCTTCTCTCTCCTCCCATCAACACTCCAGGCACAATCCAGGTAAATGGCTACGGAAAAATAGCAGACAAAAATCACTGCAAAGCCCTCCTTAAAGATTTTATTTATTTATTTGATAGAGACAGAGAGAAAGAGAGAGCGAGCCAGAAAGCACAAAGTGGAGGGCAGCGAATGGTAGAGGGAGAGGGAGAAGCAGGCTCCCTATGGACAAGGGAACCTCAGGCAGGGCTCCATCCTAGAACCCTGGGATCACAACCTGAGCCGAAGGCAGACACAAAACCAACTGAGCCACCCAGGCGCCCCATTAAAGCCCCCTTTACTGAAGATACAGAGACTGATTCCAAGTTCTTTTTCCTTAGAGAAGCTGGGAAAGAAGACCTGGGCTTCTCATTGTAGGAAGTACGACTGTGCAGACACAATTCCTAGGCCTCGCCCCTGCCATGGATAGATACCAGCAGTACTCCCTTAAATTATGGCTCTTTAACTAGCTTCTAGGACAGCAAGAGAAATGGGAGCTTTCTAAATGATTCCAGTAGCTTCTCTGCCTTTCCCCATGGAGCCTGAGTTGAAAACACATTTCACTAAGTCTACTGCCTCTTCTTCCTTTCTGGGTACAATAAAACCCAAGCACAAAGCTTCCTTATTCCCCACCCTAGACAAAAGAAAGGACAGCTCAATTCTGGATCAGTTTGGTAGGCTGGCAGGCTTTGGATCTGAAGCCCTCTCTCTTCTTTCTTAAGTCCTTTAGCTTTCCATGCAATCCCTTCGTGGTTGTCCCTGTGAGTCTCCACATGTGGCTTGCCAAGGACCACGGGGAGCAAACTACGGCATAGCAAGTGCCAGGAAACACTTGTCATCTCAGCTGGAAACTGGCAGTTAGTAAAGTCTAGATAAGTAAAATCCTACAAATTATACCTGGGCAGAGCAGAGAGACCCAGGGAATCCAGAAAACCTGAAAGAATCTCTTGCTTTTTGAAAATAAAGATAAGACTGGCAGACTTGTCTTTTCTCAAAAAAGAAAACAAAGATAAAACTGAACTCATGGCTCACCTCACCTTAAGCAGTTTCTGGACAGTGTCAAAGCTTTGCAGAGCCAGCTGTAAAGAGTGAAAAGTTACAGATAATAAACGAGGTTGTTCCTCCTCCCATCCGCACCCCGACCCGTTGTTCGTCCTCCCATCCGCACCCCGTCACCCCCAACTTTTAAAAACCTTTAGACAATGTAAAGTGATTTGGATTCCAACTCGGACCTTAAGTTAAGATTTATGAAAAACAAAATCAGATACACAGCAACTACTCAGAACAGAACATCTTATTCTTATATTCCTTCTGGAACTTGTCAGTTTGGAGACTGTGGACAGAGATATTGCGTCCACTCCTTGGACATGTACAAAACTAGTGTCTTGTGCTCCCTCTGCTGGCTCAAATTCCCAGAGTGCCACACAGAGAAGCACAAGTGTACGGTGCGCTCGGATGGAGGCGGAACAGCATTACCCTGAATGTGCCTCCCTTCGGGAAGAGAGAACAGGACATGCAGGAGGGAATCACCTGGAGCAGTGCTCCATGGGCCAGCCTCTGGGCACACTTCTTTAAAGGAGGTATGAGGTACCCTTCAAATATGCCAAACAGGGCACTGAGAGGTGGTCACTCCCCAAGTTTATTAAAGGAACAAAATCAAACAATCCCAGTGGAAACCAGAGGAGGTGAAAATTAATGAAGGTTATAACCACTAACAGCCATCAAGAAGCCTCAATATGATCCCTTTATCCAAGGGTATGTATACACTTGCCACATGCTTAGTATTCATGGTGCATCCTAGGGAAGTAGCAAGTTTGCTGCTGTAAAAATGTAAATAGCTTCACGCCTGCTCCTTCACAGGACTGAGCCAAGACAGGGCATGCAGGCTGTAGGACAGGCTAAGTAGAACCCTCCATCTTCACGATCTGTTCTCTGCAAGGAAGTAATCAGCATTTGATATAGAAAACAGATACCCTAATCTAAACTCGCCTCTCTAGGCAAATAAAATAGATCAGATGGAAGAGATTTCCACCAAGAAAGAAGAAAAACATCAAGAAGCTAAACTTTGAAGAACAAGTAAAATCTTTAGTACAGCAGCCTCTTAAAAATAAAAAAAAAAGCCTAGCTCTAATTTTTAATTAAGTTATAAAACAAACCAAAAAAGTAGAAAATGTAATTATTTTAATTCCATTTAAAAGTACAGAAATTTATAGTGTCATTAGTTTTTAGACAATAGGGAAATGCTTTTCCATACTCAGCTTACGATTTTCAAAGAGTACTTGAATTTTTCTCCTTGATGGGAATCAAAAGGATGGTCTCAGGCAAAGGTAAGGATGCAGCAGGGAGAAAAAATGGAAGAAACCCACTTTTAAATTCAAAAGGATCTTACTTCCAAAAGGCAAGTACCTGCTTACAACCCCACCGAAGGTGAGGCAGCTTACCTCTCTGGTGAGACAGCTTACCTCTCGTGTCGGCACCAGCACCAGGGCGTAGGGGCCATCACTGCGCTATCAATACAGAAGGAAAGAAATGCCATGAGTGGATGGACGAAGGTCACAGGACTCCAGGTGGACAGAACTTGAGGGTGGTCCCTTGCACATGTCAGTGGTAGTCTCATTAAGGAGGGGACTAAGATGCCCACTACCCTATTATCCTATTATTATGCAACCTTGTTCTAAAGGCTCCGGCCCATGCAATCAGACAAGAGAAAGAAATACATATAAATTTGGAAAGTAGGAGGTACACCTGTCATTGTTAGCAGATGACATTTTAGCCTAAAACAAAAACCTGAAGAGAATCAATTGAAAATCTACCACAAAAAAGACAACTTAGTCGAGTAGCTGAATGTAAAATTAATAGTACACAAATCTATAGCCTGACACAAAAGTTACAAAATACAATGGAAGGGGGGAAAAAACACACCAGAGCAGCAACAACAAGCTTGACAAAAAATGTACAAAATCTACATGACACACATTTTAAAACACTTCTGAGGAGCATAAAATAAAATCTGAGTAAATGGGAATATGTATCCTATTCTTGGATAAGAGGGTACCGTATTACAAATAAGCTAATTCAAAGTTAACCCACAACTGGGACATAAACCTAACAAAACTGCCACAAGTATGTACATGTGCACACAACTTATGTAAAAAATACATACAATCAGACAAGCTGGTTAAAAACTTCTATGAAAAATAAATGTGCAAGAATAACCAAAATATGTCTGAAAAGATCAGATGTTAAAACAATTTAAAACTACTCTAATTAAAAAAATTGACACTGGAATATAAATCGAGATTATGACAGCAAACAGTCCAGAACAGAATCAAGTTTACACAGAATGGGAGGAAGTAAGCTGCGTCTTGCATCAGTGGGGGAAAGACAAATTATTCAGACTCCAAGAATGAAGTCATGAAAGTCAAGTTGGAATTAAGTCAGCCTTTTTACAGATGACGCAAAACTCAGAAACTGTCAAACAAAACACTAATAAATCCTATTACGTAAAAATTTTTAACTTCAGAATGGAAAAATAATACCCAAACAAAATCAAGTACTAAATGACAAAATGAGGGGAAAACATGCCACTTGTAAGAGAAAGGGCCAATTTCCTTGGCTGACAAAAGTCTGTGATTCAAATAAAAAATAAAAATAAAAAAGATCACAACAACCGAAATAGAAAACAGGAGCAAGAAAACCAGCACAGCAGGTAGCGTCTCAAGGGTGTGGGCAAGGAGCTCCTGGGCGCCCTGCTGTGGGGCGCATAGGGGGTGCATACCTTGCCTTCGCCCACTGCAAGTTCAACTGTGTTTATCTACTAAGTAAACATGCGACTTCCACTTCCAGGGATTTCTCTAAACGATGTCCCCTCGTAAGCACGCATAAAAAAGTCAAATATTTTACAGACCGTGAAGTATGCAGACTAGCCTTATTGGTAGCAAAACACTGACATAATGTAAATTCCACCAATGAGCGACTGATGTGGTAACTTGTGGAGGCGACAGGCATGGGGATACTAGGGGCCCGTTACAAAAGCAAGGCAGATGGGTGGGGCACTGCTAAGACAATATCCCTGAACACACTAAGTGAACCAAAGCAAGGTACAAAACACCACGCACAGCACGCAACCACTTGTGCATCAAACCACACACACAGAAGCTCCAAGGAAAGCGGGAAGGGGAATCCGCGTGCTCACACTCACTCCTGCAGAGATGAGCCCTGGGAGGACCACCCAACAGGCGGGAGACCCTTGCACCCGAAAGAGCGGTGCCCTGCCGCTGGGGAGAGGAAGTGTGAGACTTACTAAATCCCACCATGTATTGTCGGGTACTTTTTTTTTTTTTAACGTGTACATTGTATCTAAAAAATAATAACAAAGATAATAATAAGAAAACAAAAAGCAAGCCGGTGAAGGCCTCGGTCAGTGAAGGCCTCAGTCAGTGGCGTCTTGCATCTCTAGAGTGCTCACAGACACTTAGGAATTAATCAAAGCGACGTTAGTGCGGGAGCTAAGTGCAGGTTTCGAGCCGATTCATTTACAAGCAGGGTCTTTATGTTTTGCATAGGCAACATTTACCCATAAGGAGAAAAGGATTTGGAATTCGAACTAGAGCCGTCTGTACTCGACATCACGTCTGCGGGGCCCAGGCGAGGAACAGTAAACATGTTAGTACAACATATCAACGTGCCGCGGTGTGACGTTAGGAGATTCTGACATTTCAAAAGGTGTTACTACACAGAGAAGAAGAAAGAAAAATCAATTCCTCGCAGGGCAGAAGTGAGTAAAGAAGGATGGATCTGTTGTTAAAAAAATCAGAGCCCACATAACTGGAAGAGTGAAAACGCAGGAAAACAATCCGTTCTCATCCCATCGCCAAAGTAATTTACGACTCTGCTGGGTGCCCTGAGTTCGCCGCTCCCTCCAGATAGGTTTTTCACAGGTCAAATCATTTTACGATGAACTCCAAGGGTCTCTACCGAATATTACTTGAAATAAATGAATTAAATTTGGACTTAAGAGAACTCTTTTACAGAATATTTCAATCTTTAATAGAATGAACTGCTATGGACGCTAAAATACGCGGCATGAATAAAAACGACGACACGCTGGTAAACATTTCTAGATAATAAGCAAATCAAATCGTTGCCTTTCAAACAAGCCACACGCCGCGCCGTGGAGAGCGGCGGCCAATGCTGCGTGAGCAGGTGTTGCCGCGGAAGCTGGCCACCAGCCGCTCTCCGCCCTCCACGTGCGTCAGCTCAGGAGCCTCACGGCAACCCTAGAGCCACGCACCACACGCGAAGTCACTGACGCACAGAGGGACGAAATGGTTTGCCTAAAGACACACTCAGATCCGGGCTTTGAGCAGAGCTGCCCACCGCACGGTCGCCCTTAGGTATGTAATCCAATATCTCCTGCCCTCAGGTCACTGACCTATGAAATGGGACAGCTGCGCTGGAACTACAGGACCCACGCCTGCTCAAGGATTCCCCGACTCTCCAACCTTATAAAAAACAAAACAAAAAACAAAGCAAAACAAAAAAACCCCCAAAACCCATGGCTAGTAAGAAACTCCCCTAGAATTTATAAATGGATGACGCTTTCCTACGTTATGGCAACACTCAGCCTCTCTCCTTCTCTAGCTAGGTTTGAGTCCCATGCTAAGTCCTTTATTTGAGTTATCACACTGAAGAGTGCCCAATGGGAAGGAAAAAATCAGTCACCTGCAGGAAATAAATTCCTCATTTATCCACCTCAGAGGAAACCAGTATGAATAGTTTCTTCCTCGTCTTTTTATGCACACACGCAGGGCATTATTTATGAAATCAGATCATCCTGTACATACTGCTTTGTACCCTGCCTTTTTCGTTTTAACATGCAAGAACACTTGCCAAGTTCACAAACAGAAACCGCTGTTAATGTCTATGTAAGGTCCCACCACTTGGATGTTGTGTAGGATTTCATTTTATTGATTTAAAATTATTTAAATAAAACTTAAGTATAATTTAAAAACTCATTTTGAAATAAATTAAGGCTTAGAAAAAAATTACACCAACAGTGCAAAGAACTCTCTTATACCTTCTCCCGGCTTCCTCCTACGGGTCTCAAGTCTCAAAATCCCAGTTCGATGATCAAAAGCAGGGACTCAGCACTGACGTGAGACCGAATTAATCCACAGCCCATATCCCGACTTCACTGACTGACCTCTCTGTGTCCTCTCCACAGACCAGGACCCACTGCAGGACCACGTGTTGCACTGAACTGTCACGCCTCCTTCGTCTCTTTTAACCAGGGGTAGCTCTTCAGCATTTCTGTTTTTGATGACTGGAATACTTTGGAACACTAGCAGCCTGTCTCTTTATAGGTCTCTAGATTTGTGTTTGTCTGGTATTTGTTCATGATTAAATCCGCGTGATGCGTGTGGGGCAGGAAAACCACACAAGTGGGGCTGTGACCTCTCTGGAGACGCGCCGGCTGACACATCCCGGCACTGGGGCGGCCCACGCTGGCTACCTGGGTAAGGCGGTGGCAGCCAGGCCTCCCTAGCCTGAAGTGACTATTTGTCCCTTTGAGGTTAAGAGGTATTTTATAGGGAGATCTATTGAGACTAGGTAAATATCCCATTTTTCATCAGACTTTCACCCCTCATTTTGGTGGCTGTGACGTGTGACACTGTGTTACTTAGGCACTGGCCGATGGTGCTGCTCTCCTACAATACTGTGAGACCTGCTTCTCCTTTTCCCGTCGATTTATCTATTCCCTCAATAATTTATCAGTTTGTACTATCTATCCACATATAATCTATCTACAATACAATCTATCTACAATAATCTATCAGTTTGTACTCATGGGTGCTGGTTTTAACCTGTGGTCTATAATGCAATGCTACCACTGCCTGCTTATCGCTCGGTATCAGGTGGGGTGGACACACACCTAATTCTGTCTGCCCAAAATGAGGGGGAAAAAAGTAACCAAGGAGCTCTTCCCCCCTGCTTGTACACCCACCTGACTTCCTAGTTCAGATCTCACCACATCCTCTCCACTGAGGATAACCAGGATGTATTTGTGGGGACTCTGAGCTGGGTTTTGAGAGGGTGCCTGTGCCCCCAGAGCCCCACGGTTAACGCGCCTCCTACAGGACCCTGGGACCCCACTTTCGGCCCCTCTGGCCCGGGCACTAACTAACTGTGTTTCCCAACTAAAGACAAGTCCTCCCCCGCTGCTCCCCAAGCCTCCGTCTCTTTCTGTAAACTCAGGCTAACAGTCACACCTGTAACTCACCAGACCGAGGCTTGGGGTTTAAGATTCAAGAAGATAAACACAAAGAATCCAGCACAACGTCCAACACAAGGAGCATGTACTTTACAAATGTTTCCTATTAGACCTGCCGTGATGATTACAAAGTATAGTTTTTCTAGTTTCTCTGGACACGATCCTCAGACACAAAGTGTTCATGTAATAAATGAGTCAAAAAGAAAAAAACACTGCTAAATGGAAACAGATTCTTTTGGTCCCAGTATCACTACTTCGGCTCAGTTGGATGTTGCTTATGTACTATGAGCAGTAACGGAAAAACACTATACTCACCTGTATTTTTGATTTCATTGCTTGAAGAGACTGGACCACAGGGATGCAGTAGGCAAGAGTTTTACCTTTTAAAAAAGTACAAAAGCAATTAAAATCATAGACCCTAAAGATGTAGGAAAAGCAAAGGAAGTTAAGAAAATGGACTCTGCTACCCTTGGATAGCACTAAACTCCGGAGACGGAGAAAGTGCACATCCAACATCCAAGAGAGGTGAGAACGGAATTTGCCTATCTGCCACAACTCCCCATCTTGTTTGTAAATCCAGTACTTCCCAAAAAACCTGCCGCTAAAATCCTTCATCCATCTAACAAAGGGAGACAATGACACATGTCACAAGTTACACAAAGGCTCGACTTGAGGACTGCCCCTCAAAGCTAGAAAACCCCTTTAAAGTCGCCCCTAACCATGCACCTGAGCTTCGCGGCTGAGTAAATGACCTGCACGGTGCTGACGTGCTTGGGAGACAGCCTGAACCCCGAGCCAGCCTCTGAAGACCGTGGAGAAACCAAGGTATGGCAAAAGCTTCGGGTTTCCACCCACCTGAATGGTGGCTGAGCCGGTGGGGGGGGGGGGACGTGGTGAAGAGCCAACCTCCATTCTGGGCACAAGAGGGGCAGAAGAACAAGTCTACGGAAAATCTTGGAACACGCAAAAGCGGTGTTCTGTGTTGGAGCAGAACTGGCATCTGAACAGCGTGTGCTCACGCCGGCACCGTGCTCTGGGATCAGAGAATCCTCATCCCCCGCTGGAGTGCAGAGGGCAGCTCAGGCCACAGATGCGGGACTGGGCACAGCCCTGACAGAGGCTGACCACCTCCTGATCGCAGCACCACCAACCTCCCCTCCCTTTCACTAGGGGAACAAATTCAGGGCTCTCCTCCAGAGCAGGCATGGCCTCCCTCCTTCCCCCAACAAAGGAAAGCCACCGCTGTCACAGACAGACACCTCACTATGGAGCCTACCGTGTGAGTGTGGCCCGGGTGTCAGGGAAAAGGGTCAGAAGTTAAGTGGCGACTGACCTGAGCCCGTCTGTGATCTCACCAGAGCATCTCTGCCTTCTAGCAACGCCGGAATACTTAGCTTCTGAACGCTTGGGCCACCCAAAAGAAAGAACACATGCTGAGCTGTAACATTTTACCCTCCCCTGTTTACAGGCACAGACGCAGGACACACAAACCACAACTGCCCCCGTTCTTTGCTGTGTCTGCCAACTGCTGCTTTAAAAGTCGCCTAAACATTCAAACGAAGGCGCTGAGAAACTTCTGATGAATGGAGGGATAAGTGCTCAGTTCCGTTTCTGGAACTCAGCCGAAAAAACTGAGGCGAGCCAGGACTGGCCGCTCTAGCAAACGGATGAGAAAGAAAAATGGCACAGGCATGATGACAAGCTCGAGCTACCATGAGACATACCCGTCCTCCCACCCGCGCCTCCCGGGGCAGGCTCTGGGACCCAGTAAGACGTGACAGGAAGATTCCCAGCAAGAGTACAAGGAAGCTTGTGAGCCAACCACACAGCCTGCAGCTGCTTCCCAGTTTCCAAAAAACCGAGGTGTGACTATCCCACACGCACACTAAGATGTGTGTCCACACGTGTATTTAAAAACAACAACAACAAGGCACAAAATTCATTTAAATTTGACCGGTGAAACTGAACAACAACAACAAAATTGGGTAAGAGGGTCTCCTTTCATTCTTCAAGACCCTTACTAATTTATACCTATGACTTAAATGTGATGCTTAGTAAAATTAAACTATAAAGCATACACTCTCACAAAAAGGAAGTTCATCTCTTCTCTGTACCTTTTACTATTCTATTTTCCAAGAATCATCACTCTTAAACATTCAAAAAAATTTTTTTCTGTATCCCATTATACCCGACCAAATAGTTACTTCTTTTTTGCTGCCTCTAGTTCTTACTACTAAAAAATGACGTGACAAATTCTATATAGTGGAAATATGATTTTCAGTGTGGCAAGGACACCAGTGGGATCCCATGCAGACATCTTTTGGACCGGATCAGAGCTGAGAACAGAAGTAGTTGGGGACTCAGTCTCTCCACTTAACAAGTGGGGGAACTGGGTGGGTGAGTGCTGTCTCAAGCCCTCAATGGGCAACAATCCAGCAGTGTTCTCTAACACCAAGACACAAATTTGCTCAGTGCTCCACAGATAATTCCGATTTCGCTGGTCATACACATTCAAGTCTTAACAAAAGCAAGCCTGGCCTGGAACCCTTACCTGGTCATACTAGTCATGTTTAAGACCGTATTTATTGTGGAAATCTAAAAGAGAACACACAAAATATTTTTAACTACTGACTTTTTGGCACAAATATATTTAATGCAAATGAGGATGCAAAGAAGGAGAAGACACTTGGATAAAAACAATAGCTGTGCTCCCTCCAACCCGTGTTCTTCCAACCAGTGAGTGTCACCTGGGGGTGGTCCTGCCCACCATCCCCCACTCCCCATTCCCCTACACACACAAATGCACGCGCGTGCGCGTGCGACAATGTCTGGAGAAATTTTTGTTGTCCCAAGTGGGGCGGGGGACACCACTGGCATCAAGGGAGTAGTCATGGAGGGCTGCTGACCATCCTGTCACGCACAGGACAGTGCCCGTGAGTTATCCATCCCCAAATGGCCACAGCATGAACCTGCTCGATGTCCTCGCTCAAACCCGTAGGTAAGAAAACGGCTTATGTGAGCCATCCTAAAGGGGTAAGTAAACTGTGACCATAGGAAGAGAGGAAATCCAGACTCCCTAAAAGTTAATGTATTTTTCTCTTACTCATAAATAAGAGCGGAAAGTTCATTCACAGTCCAAACCAAAAAACCCCCACCCATTTGTTTGTAGACAATGTATGTTAAAATAGCCTCGTCTTCCTTCAATTCTTTGTAACAAGAGACTACCCTTGATATGAAGACACCAGCTCAGTCCCCTCTCCTAGAGTCATTATGACCTGTCACCCACATCAGCTTCCACGTCCCATCCACCCACTAATTAGGAGCTTGTCCTAGAGTCCCATAAGCAGAGCCCCAGGCCTACTTTGAATTAGGTGAGCAAAGTGTTTAGTTCTTTAGAAAGGGGGTGGGGACGGAGGGAAGGGCAGTGAACAGTAAGCTAAACTCACCGGGATTGTCCCGGAAGAGCATCTTGTCAATCTGACTTCATTCAGGTAACTTGGAGCAAAGTAACCAAAGTAACCTTTGATTTTTCTTCCTAGAACTGTCATTTCACAGACCTTCCCAAGGAATAATCACACTGACAAAACCGAGAGACACTTACTAAATGTGGGTGGAGGTCCAGTTCATGGAAAGCTTCCGAAGTGAACACCTCTTCTCGCACCTGCTTTACTCCAGGTCTGCAAACGATGAGCAAAACCCAGGCATCAGTTCCCGTCGACAGAGAAAAAGGCAGAAAACACTGAACTCCTCCTGTTCCTGAGCGCACCTGCCCTGAACATACCTGTGGAGCTCTGGGATTTCAGGGTTGTTTTTAAATAACGATGAAGTCCTAACGCACAGCTTCTGCTCTCGGGTTCCGTCACTCACACCGACCAAAGATTTCCTTGGAGAAAATGTTTTCTGTGCCTTCCCCTTAAAAGTCCTTTGTGTTTCTTTAGCAGCAGCTTTCTCGGCCAGGAGAAACGCTGCCTTGCTCCTCCGCTTCGCTGGGGGAGCCTCCCCGGATGCTTGGTGTTTTCTTTTGGTGGCCTCTGCTTGCTGCATCGTTCCCAAAAGGCAAGAGCAACAAGAGATGCATTAGTCCATGAAGACAGACCTCGGAGTGAAGCCTGACTGCCCACGGAATTGCATCTCTCCCTGCAGAGAGCATTATGCCCCATATGTCAAGCAACAGTTTAGGGTCTGCAATCAGATTCTTTGACTCGGCCTTTTTTTTTCCCCCAAAAAGAAAAAAACAAACAAAATAAAACAGATCGAAACACAAACACTCAACTCATTCATCCACTAGACCTCCCCATCCATCTTCACCATCAACTCCACCAAGATGAGGGTAAGGATCAAGAAGGGAGAACCCTTTGTGGGGCTGAATGTGAACAAATGCGAGTCTGTTTTAAGGGAGGAGAAGCCCACCTTGTCAAGAGTGCGCGCTGTCAATCCTTATCTCTAGATGTCCACCTACACAAAAAGAACAGGGGAAGGGGGAGCACATCCTCCTTCTCCACCAACAAAGCCCGTTGGTAACTAGACATGGGATGCTGCAGCCCTGCCCATGCCCAGGAAGCAGGAACCTTCATTACTGCTCTACCCCAGAGTGCTTGGATCGCTGTCATCCTCCCCCTCACGCTGCTCCCCGGATTCAGATGGCTTGGAGACGATTCCCACTCGCCATTTCCATTCCAAATGAGAATTCTGCTCCATCCATCACTTCTACCACAATTATTTCCAACTCTCCTTGCCTTTCAGGTCCCCATCTGATCACCGATTACAGGCTACAATACTCGGCATTTTCCTGCCTGTTGCTTATTTCTGTAACGTGGATGTGGTTACATGCACGATGTCCAAACTTCTCCCAGGAGAAGAAACATCCAATTTTCTTAGAAGAAACATTTTATTTTCCTTGGCCTTCTCTTCCAATTTCCACATGAATAAAAAACATCCCATGAGTAGCCAGGGCTTATTGTTCTGGCATTTTGGTTTCTCCTGGAATGCTATTTTCCCCTTCGCTTGAAATGATGGATTCCATTTACACATCAGCTTGCTTTGGCCATGGCTGTCAGCTTTAGGCTAACCCACCAACAGCAACACTTGTTTGTTCCCGACAACTACAGAACTCCTGTATCTAAATAATTCAATAAATACACCTTGGAGTATTTACTATTAACAAAGGAAGTACTGACCTACTCCATCTTACAAATCTATTCTCACAAAGTCCCAAGTTTATGAGTGTTCAGATTAAAGAAAGAGATAAAGTCACATTCCAGGTCTGTTGAATCATTTACAAGGCAGAATGAAACATGTTGCTGTTCCTTGATTTATGAACAACGCACTCTTTGGAGCACTCCCACCAGGCATGGGCTTCCTACTACAAGCTCCTCGACAGGTGGCCTTGCGGTATGCCTGCCTACACATCTCCCCTTACCGTTCTCCATCGCTGGAGACACCAAATTCTAGGGGTTGGAAGCTGTTTCTGACACTTGGACAAGACCTGCCACCTTGATCAACTCTCTGCTAGTCTGAGGCATCCCATTCCTTCACACATCGTCTAACTGCCTGTTTCTTCTTTGGACTTAGTAGTCCAAATAGGACACAAGCTTTCAATCCTTTCTCATCCCAGTCACCTTCTATTCTCACATCATCTGTTCTCTAAAAGCAAGTATTCAGAATTAGGCACAATATTTCACAGGCTCTCCGCGGCTCTTAGGCTAAAATAAAAAACCTGTAATATGATCTATAAAGCTCCCTAGAAGCTGGCCTCTGCCCATCTCAGTGCCCTCATCTTGTGCCTCAGTCGTCCTGGTCTTCCTGAGTTCCTAGAAAGCACCATGCTTCTTCCTTCCTCAGGGCATTTGTACATGCTATTGCCATACCCATGTCTGCAACACCCTTCTCCCCCCCACCCTTTGGCTGGCTAACTCAAACTCATCCTTTAGATCTAGGCTTACTGGGTCCTCAGAAGAACCTTTCCTGACCTCTTCTCTCCACCTAGTCAGGCCAGGGCTCCTACTCTTGGCTCTCCTAGGAGGCACCCTTTGTCTTCACTGTAGTATTCAGTACAATTACAAGCATGAAATGTAATTTGTTACGTGGGGTCAGTCATCCCCATTAGACTGTAACCTCTATAAGGAAATGGACAAGTCTGTCCTGCATGGCACTGCACCCCCTGTATGGGCTCAATTCTGCCCAGAGCAAGTGCTCAATAAACACCTGTAAGATGAATGACAACAATGGAATTATCCCTTCCCATAATGTGGACGCTATTCCACTGCTTGTTAGCTTTTCTGTCCCAGCATCCACAACACATTCTTTTAAAAAAAAACTGACCACTCAGCAGCTGTCAAGTAGTGTGGTTCTGAGGATACAAGGCTGAAAAACTAGTCAAGCCCTTGAGGAACTCACAGGTTAGTGGAAGAGACGAAAGTATAAAACCAGAAAACCAAACTTGTGTTTGTACTCAGAAGAGGCCTGTACAAAGGATTATGGAAGCACGAAACAAGGAGGCCACCACGGCCTACGTCAAGGGGAAAGGAGGGCAGGAAACAGAAATGCCTCATGAGGTGGCGCCTGAGCAAAGAGGAGCAAGGACGCACCTGCACTTCTAAAAAGTCGGCTCTGCAACACTAAGCAAATTACCTCCCTCTGAGTCTCTGTTCCTGTACCTGTAAGACAAGGGGGTTCTGGCAGATGACCTCTATGGCCCATCTAGCCCTAAAAGTCTAAATACTAAGCTTCTGATATTAATAAATACACTAGAGCCCCGGAAATATGCTAAGTACTTATGTGAATTAGCTAATGTACCATCCCATTTTAAGATGAGAACATGGAGGCAGAGATAGGAGGTAACTCGTCCCAGGATCGCTGAGGGATCCAGGTTTGCTCAGGCCCTGATTCTACAGCCAGGGTTCCGGATGGTTATGCTGTAATACTATTTATTAACTGTATCCTGTTTGGCTGGAAAACAGCATGTGTAACTTGATCTCTTGTTTGCTTTCTACGAGGATATACACCAAAACGTTAACCAGAGTTACCTCTGAGTATAGCAGTTATGGGTTTTTTTCCTTTAAGGTCCTTATTTCCCTATTTCCTACCATAAATTTGTATTACCTGAATAATCAAAAAAAATTTTTTAGAATGAAAACACTATATACTGTTACGCACAGCATCACTTAAGTTGTCGAGGCCTTTCCAAATGCAGTGTATTAGTTAACCGCCCCAAATTCAGGCCCCTGGCAAATGAGACTGGCATACCTGTAATTCCCATTCAAGACAAAAAATGTGGATGCAGACGAAGGCAATGTAGACCCCCGTCATCATCTCACTAACACACCACCTTTTGACGTGGCGGTTCAAGCGATCATGAAGCCAGACATCCTGTTTTTATCCCTTCAGCTCACTCAAGGAGGTGTTAATAATGCTTCCCCTGTGTTACCAGGCACCTCCACAGCAAAAGCACCCCAATAACCCCTGGACACAGCTATTCCGTTACTCAAAATGGAACCAACACGACTTTACTTACCATTGGCATTTATTAAGTGCTTCTATGGGCCAGAAAATATAGTCTTCTTGTATTTTATTTACTCCTCACAATAACTTCGTATAAAATAGAAACTTGTTTATATCCATTCTTTATTTGGTGGACAATTTTATGTCTACCCTGCATTTTACAATCGTTTTACAGATTGGAAAAGTAAGGTCCAGAGAGGTGAAATAACTCCCCCAAGTTCACAGAACCAACGTGTTGCAAGGTGGGCATCTAACCCCAGGTCTGTGCTACTCCAAATCCCAGGCTCCCAGAGGCTCTTCGGTACTCCCGTTTCCTCCTCCCAGAGAAGCAGCAACCCCACTGCTTAGCTGAAAACTCCTACTCCCAAACTCCCAAACTCCCAAAACTCCCACTCCCAAACTCCCAAATATCCTAAAGCTTGATGATCACTGAAAAGTCACCAAAGACAATCCTTCTACACACTCGAGGAGTATCAGCTTCAACACGCTGGGATTACCTGTTGCTTTCTGGAGAAAACACACACCTTCCTCCGTACGAGGTGGTATAATTTCTGGCCTCTGCGGTAATTCGGGATTCTACAACAGATTTTCTGCCCTGCAGCCCTGCTCTCTTCCAGGCGAGAAGTCAACCATCAAACCCGTTCCCAGCTCTGGCTCGGTTGAAATTTAAAGCATCTTTCCCCTCCCCAGGGAGCGGGTTATACGGGCGCTCAGTGTTCTTCCCCACTGCACGTGGGTGAGAATCTATGCCATTTCTGAAAGCTCTCGAAGGAGGCCTCTAGGCTCCGGTCCCCGTTCCTGCACCGAACGACCTTCCATCGAGGCGCCGGCGGTGGCGGTGAGAGAAGTTAGGAGGTGTGGCTAGCAGGCGCCGGGCTGGCACACCCGGCTGGCACACCCCGGCGGCAGTCCCTGACTTGGGCGGGAATCAGCTCCCATCCCCTACGCGACCTTCGGGACCCTCCGACCGGCAGCCCGAGCCGGCAGACGCCCCTCCACCCCGGCTCCGCGGCCGCCCAGAACGTCCCGGCGGGGCAGTGCTCCGAGCCCAGACACGTGCCGTTCAGCGACTTCTCCAGAAGCTGCTAGACAGCCCACCTCCCCCCGTAACTCGGTCGGTAGCTCGGAACCCTGCCCAGAGGCTAGGCGGCAGCTCGCGTCGTGCGGCGAGCCGGGCCGCGGCGGCGGAAGGCTCGGAAGCCGCGTCAGAACTCACCCGCCTCGCCTGGGCCCAGCGGGGTCCGGAGAGCGTCCCGGGGCCGCCGGCCGGGGACTCCGCAACGTGGAGGAGCAGCCCGCCGGCGGCTGCCATGGCGCACGGCGACGCGCGGGCACACGCGGGCGCCGGCACCCGCTGGCGCGGCCAGACCTCCGGAACCCTGCCCCGAGCTCGCCTCGGCCCAACGTGGGCGGCGCGCGAGGACCCCGCGTAGCTGTCCCGCCGGCTCCTGCGGCCGCGCCCCTTCCGGGTCCCTAGGGCCCAGGGGCCACGGCGCCGGGGGGCTCGGGACGGGGTGGCCGCTCCGCTCGGCGTCCCTCGCGGCTCGCCCCGCGGCGGGCGATGCCACATGACACCCAGCCCTGGAGTTCATGCTGGTGAAGTTCTCTGAGTGCCTCTGAGAAACAAGGGGCCGTGTGCCGCCCAGCCAACGTTTCCTTCGTTTGCTGCCGGGCCACCGCCGCCTCGGCACTTTACTTGCCCGGGAGGTCTCCACAGGGGCCTGGGGCTGGGTCGCCCGGAGAGGGAGCCCTCGCGACCCCCTTCCCCTCGCCCACCCGGGTCGCGCCTTCGTCCCGCCCGCCGAGGAGTCGCGTTTTCTAGACAGGCAGCGCCTTGGCCACCTGGCAGGGCTGGGTCGCCTAGCAACGGCGGGGTCCTTCCTGGCTCGGCGGCGCTCGGGGCCTGAGGGGAGAAAGCGGCCGCGGAGGGCGCCGGGGCCCGGTGGCGGCGGCGGCTCAAGAGGCGGCAACCGGACGGCGGCGCGGGCTTGGCGCGCCCCGGAATCCGGCCTCTGCACTTGAGAGGAGATGAGCTCGGCCGACAAGGCCCGGGTGGGGCCCGCGGCCGACGGGCTTGCGCCGCCGGAGGAGGAGGAGGGCGAGGGGGGCGGCGAGGCGGGCGGGAAGGAGCCAGCGGCAGACGCGGCCCCCGGGCCCAGTGCCGCGTTCCGGTTCCTGGTGAGTCGGCGGGAGCCGGCCGTGAAGCTGCAGTATGCTGTGAGCGGCTTGGAGCCGCTGGCCTGGTCCGAGGACCACCGCGTGTCCGTGTCCACGGCCCGGAGCATCGCTGTGCTGGAGCTCATCTGCGACGTGCACAACCCGGGCCAGGACCTGGTTATCCACCGCACCTCGGTGCCCGCCCCTCTCAACAGCTGCCTCCTCAAAGTAAGTCACCCCCCCGGACCCCAGCAGGTCCAGGGGGTCCTTCTGCCTCCCTCCCGCGGCCGCGTTACCGGTCCCTGGGGAGTCTTGGCCTGCTCCCACTCCGGGGATTCCCCTCGTCGCATCCCGCGCTTGGGGCTGAGGGCTTGGGTCGCCGTATTTAAAAACAGAAAACCTCGCAGCCGTTCGCGCCCACTTTTCCAGATCACCCACCCCCTTCCGACGCACACAGGTATCCCCGGAGCTTTCGTCGGAGCCAGGTCCTTGCTTGGCCCCGGCGCCTGCCCCACTGCTGGCGCTGATGACTCTCGGTGGTGCCTTCTGAGACTCCACCCCCTCTGACCCAACCCCAGACCTCGCCTCTACAGTTGCTCCCATTGTTTGGAACCGACTCTTGGGCCCTTGTCTGGCTTTGTTTACTGTGACGTACCCCTCCTCTTGTGCCGCTTCTGCTTTGGAGAAGACAATTTGGTCCTTCTCGTTGCCTCAGATATCTTAGCGACTTTAGTATATCGATGTTCCTTCTCACCTTGAGCAGCTGGGTGCTCCAGGGTTTTCCTTTCACAGCGGGAAATCTTTGGGATTGGCACGGACAGGAAAGCTTTCGGAGATAAATGCGGTTCTCGGATTTCAGGGCCTCTGTGGACTTCTAGTGTTTTCAGCTTCGTATAAGCCAAGTTTGCCTTCAGAACTTTAGGGTTCCTAGTTTTACTGTTTTAGTATCACTATCTTCAAATTTATTTTGTTCCCCAGATAGTAAGTCATTTCATTCATTAGTGGTTTTAAAGTATAAAAACGTTTCCTGTCTCCTTTATAAATCTTTATGCGTGTATGTGATTTATAAGGAGTGTGTATTTATTCGTTCCCCGGATACTTGAATAGCACCGTGTACGAGCTAGGTGCTGACCTCGGTTCTGGAAATAAAGCAGTGTACCAAGCCAAGTGCCTGCCTTCATGGAGTGTACATTCTTTGGCAAGTCATGAACAAGTAGGACTGTAATATCAGGTGGTGATAAGCACTGTAAAGGTGTGTATCTATGCCCAGCAAATGTATTTATGTGAAACTGGAAGGTTTTAAAACTTTTTTTGCACTGCCATTTTAGACACGAATCATTAGCTGTGGGTAGGGAGCAAGGAGCCCACACCACCTTTTAATTTTTTTAGCACACTTAAATGTTTTATATATATTTTTTAACATTTTATTTTTATTTATTTGTCAGAGGCAGAGCGAGCACAGGGAGGCAGAGAGGCAGGCAGAGGCAGAGGGAGAAGGAGGCTCCCCGCCGAGCAAGGAGCCCGATGTGGGACTTGAACCCAGGATGCTGGGATCGTGACCTGAGCCGAAGGCAGCCGCTTAACAAACTGAGCCACCCAGGCGTCTCACACTTGAACGTTTTAAACAAACAGTTTGTTGTTGCATTAAATCACTGGTAGACTGATAGGACTAAACCCTGAAAATCTTCTTGGAGAAAATATGAACAAATTGGCTCGAGTATAACCACATCAGGTAGACAGATATTGTTAATACTGTGAAATTGAGAAAGAGATGGAGGCAGAAGAAAGTAGCTTAAAAGGTATAGCCTTACCATTTCTAAGGATGTTCATGTGTACACGAACTAGAGAAAACTTTAAGTGTGTGTGTCCAATGTGGTCCAGATTTAATGATTTAGCAAGGAGAATTTTTTCAGTTTAATTTTTTTTAAAGATTTTGTTTATTTACTTGACAGAAAGAGAAAGCACAAGTAGGCAGAGTGACAGGGAGAGAGAGAATCAGGCTCCCTGCTGAGCCGAGAGAAGGATCTGGGGCTCGATCATAACTCGAGCCAAAGGCAGACACTTAACTGATTGAGCTACCCAGGTGTCCCAGCAGAGAGGATTTCTCAAGTGGGGGAAGGAGCAGAGGGAGAGGGAGAGACTCTTAAGTAGGCTCCGTACTCCTGTTGCAGGGCTCCATCCCACGACCCTGAGATCATGATCTGAGCTGAAGCAGAGTCGAGATGCCTAACCGACTGAGCCACCCAGGCGCCCCTAGCAGAGAGAATTTAAAGAATGGCAGGAATAGTGAGGGGAGGCCCTTAATCAGGGAGTGTTATCTGGTGGTGAATCTGAAGGAGACCCGAGAGAACTTCGGATTTGTCTTGTAAGAAGAGCAGAGGGGCATCTGGGTAGCAGGAACGAGGTGTCCGTCTGACTCACGTACATGAGTAAGTCGTGGACATACTTTATTGTTTGTGTGAGTAATGATGGGTCAACAGACAATCTCTTCTAGAGAGGGAAAGTGAGGTGAGGCCAACTTAGGAACTCCGAAGGTCGGTCTGAAGAAGTTGGCTTCAATCTAGGAAGCCCAAAGGTGCTGTAACAGTTTCATGAGCATGGACTGGCCTGGAATGGTTCAGGAGTATGAATCTGGGGGGCCTAATGGCAAGAAGACGATGATTAGGGTTAATATAAAATAGAGGGTACGAACTTGGGCTTTGGCACAAAATAGCAATATAGGCCTGTCTGTACAAGGGGGATGATAAAACCTGTGTTGTTTAGATGACTTTTTTTTTTTGGGGGGGGGGGAGAGAATGCGTGTGCACAAGGGGGGGGGAGGGGCAGAGGGCGTACACCGGCAGGCTGTCGATACTCGAAGTAATAAACTCGGTCATGGAGGTATGAAGAAAGCAGGGTCTCGGTCAATACTGTAGCTGTGGATATGAAGATAGCCATAATACTCTGATAAAAACTGGACTCATTGGTTGTGCAACTAATAAGTAATAGGAAATCTTTCATATGCTGCTTGTAATTAGTGGATCGCTTGGAAGTTAATGAGTGGCACCTTCCCCTCGTGTACCGTTCTTCAGTATGCACGTCACACAAACCGTCCATCAGTTAGCAGTCTCACCAGACTAGGAGCATTTGGTGAGTGAATGCCAAGCTGTCCCTGCAGTTCTGAAAGAGGCCTCTGTCGGGTAAATCAGGGCTGCAGTGGTAGGAATGTAAAGAAGTCTGTATCAGTACTTTGATGACTTTACCCTTTGGCAGTGCCTAGGGATTTCAACTGCTCTGTACTGTCCAGCTTGCCTTTGCTCTGACATGAAACGTAGGTGGCCATTCTGCAGCCTGGATCAGTTCACTGTAGGGCCCTGCTAGAAGGCCAGATGCTCAGCTCCTCTGAAGCTTTTGCTCTGTGATCCCATTATTTAGATTATGAATTTCAGGAAAATGTGCAGTTTCACAGTAGTTCATATATCTGCTATTTGCAAGTTACTGTCCTGGACACTGAAGTTACATGATACCAAGGAGAATGATATAAGCGAATGATATGAAAAGCAGTAAAATTGTGATTTAAGAGTAATTTGCAATTTTTCTGCCCATTGGACTGCTGATTTAGTGACTCATCTAATTGGATACAGTTCCAAATTCTAATAAAATTTGAGTGACTAATTTTACTCTGCATGAATTTTTAGGCTTGTTAGAAAGCATTAACTCCATCCACATTAAGTTAAATAACTATTGGCTATCTTTGGAATCTTACTCCTACCTTCAAGAAGCTTCCTGTAGAATAGCTTCAAGTGAATTTCTGTTCATTAGGTGCTTATGAAGGAATTAACTATTAGTAGTAATAGTGGCCAATTGGAAACAGTAGTCTGTAATTAAATGACTGGCTGGGTGTGGTCCTCTGGGAACTGGACTGCTATGTGGTGTACTCCTTGGCCATCTGAGTACATGTTTTAATTGATGGCTGGTTTTGTGACATGGAGACTTAAAAGGAGGGGCACTGTACTCCTTCAAACTAATACATCAGCAATTGCTATACAAAACCATTTTCCCTGCTGTTGAGATCCAAGATTCTCTCTATCCTGTCAAGGATTCTTCCTACAATGAGCGGGACCAAGCGTTTCTTTTATGTCATCCTCTGCTGCTGTTCTGGGGTATAGGTCCTGTCAAGTTTACTGCTAGTTCTAGAGTAACTTTTATTTGTAGGAATTTACCTGTCCTAAGGATTATTGCTTGGTGTACGGTGTCATAAGATTTGGTGATTTTGAATCTACCCTTTATCTGGTGGACAATTTCATGTCTACTCTGCATTTTACATACTTTATTAGGGCTCATTAACTTGTACTTAATCCCCAGAGAGGGACGCCTGGGTGGCTCAGTTGGTTAAGCGGCTGCCTTCGGCTTAGGTCATGATCCCAGCGTCCTGGGATCGAGTCCTACATCGGGCTCCCTGCTCAACAGGGAGCCTGCTTCTCCCTCTGCCTCTGCCTGCCACTCTGTCTGCCTGTGCTCTCTCTCTGACAAATAAATAAATAAATCTTTTAAAAAAAAAAAATCCCCAGAGAGTGTCCGTCTTCCTCCTCCTCCTGCTTCTCCTCCTTCTCACTAACAGTTACTGACACTTATTAATAGATGCTGTACAGGCATCGGGTGGCTTAGCCTGTAGGGACTCTTTGATCTCAGGGTGGTGAGTTCAAGTCCCAAGTTGGGCATGAAGCCTTCTCAAAAGATGCTTTATGTATATTGACTTATATAACTTTCCTAACTCTGTGACACATATATTACTGTGTTCTTTTTATGAATGAGAAAATTAGGGCCAGAAGGTTTAAGTAATTTGTGCAGGGTTACAGAGCTCATGTGTGATAGAGCCAGGATTTGAACTCAGGTAATCTGGCAGTTAGTCATTATGCTGTGCTTCTCTGTAATACTTCAGATTTTATCTATCCATACAAAGCTCTGGGCTTTGATTAGCATTATTTTATTAACAGGCTAGCCAGCTGTACCTCTGTTTAATTGGGATTTCCAGTCTATTTCACTGGCATGTCCATAGGTGTATCCAAGAGGCTATCTTAAATGCCTTTCTAAATCAAGATATACTGCCTAAGACACCATTTCCAGAGTATTCTTTAGGAAAATATAGGATGATACCACCTGACAAAGTTTTATTGTTTAAAAAAGAGTTTGGGGGGGCGCCTGGATGGCTCAGTGGGTTAAAGCCTCTGCTTTCGGCTCAGGTCATGATCCCAGGGTCCTGGGATCAAGCCCTGCATCGGGCTCTCTGCTTGGCAGGGAGCCTGCTTCCCTTCCTCTCTCTCTGCCTGCCTCTCTCTGCCTTCCTCTCTCTCTGCCTGCCTCTCTCTCTGCCTGCTTGTGATCTCTGTCTGCCAAATAAGTAAGTAAAATCTTTAAAAATAAATAAATAAATAAATAAAAATTTTAGAAAGTTTGGAAAACTCTGGTTAAGTCAGCAGCTCCCTGGCCAAGGCATTTAATGTGCTCCTGAGAAACTTCACGGAGAAATGATGTGTAACATACGATGTTCCCAAGACTTAGGTGGCCACAGAACTCTTTTTCAAGAGACAATTTAGGGGAGTAATGTTCTACATAACACACTTTAGGAAAAGTTAGTCATCTGACTCATTTGTTGGATACCTTTATATCTACCTTTCTGTACTTCTTATGTCATTTAGCAATTCCAGCAGAAAAGAGAATAAGATTAGATTTTTCCAGTTATCCTATGCTGGTTTCTAATGATCACTTCTGTCCACACAAACTTTGTTTGTTTGTTTGTTTGTTTGTTTGTTTTAAGATTTATTTGTTTAGGGGCACCTGGGTGCCTCTGACAGTTAAGCATCTGTCTTCAGCTCAGGTCATGATCCTGGGATCCAGCCTGATGTCTTGGCTCCGGGGGTCCCTACTCAGTGGGAGTCTGTATATCTTTTTCCCACTGAATCCCCTCACCCCCACTTGAACCGTCTTGCTTGTGCATGCACTCTCTCTCTCTCAAATAAGTAAATCTTTATTTTAAAAAAAGATAATTACTTGAGAGAGAGAGAAAAAGCATACGCGACCATGAGGGAGCAGGGAGAGGGAGAGAGAATCCCAAGCAGACTCCCCGCTGAGCACAGAGCCTAGCACAGGGCTCCATCCTACAGTCATGACCTGAGCCCAAACTAAGAGTCAAACACCTAACCAACTGAGCGACCCAGGCACCTCACAAACCTTTCTTTTAACAACTGAGGGATTTCATTCCCTAGCAGGTTTTATGGTCTGTAATATTTGTTACCTATTTTTCATTTAGGAGATATTTTAAAAGTGTTTATTGTACTCTGGTTTTCTGACACATTCCCAGTTATCCAAGCTTTATCAAGGACTAGTCAGTCATTTGGAGTTCAGTATCTTCGAGGTTTATCCTGTGTGTCCTAGAGTGTAATTCCTCTGGGCTTGGGGACTTAAACTCATTTAACGTGATTTTTATTATATCCATATATGTCTTAGGCTTGAATTCCTTTGTAATTATGTAATAACTACCCTTTCCAGTTTGAAGATCAGCTTCTACATAAAAGGAGGTTGTCACTAAATCTGTGTGATTCTGCTTTCTTGCTCTGGGTCAATTTCCCTAAGGACAGTAGGGTCAAGTGTTTTTCTCTTCCTGCTTTGCACATATCAGAAGACATGGTTCAGTTGACTTACGCTTTATTTTGGCCTTAGCCTTCCTGGCTCCAGATCACTTTCTTTTGGTCATTTGTCTCTTCCTTTGTCTTTAATGTTCCTTTAAAATTCTTTTAAAGAGCTTGCCATCATACAGCCAGGCACTAAATAAACAGCAGCGCTGGTGTGTGGCACAAAATTGGAGGAGGAGAAATGGGAGAAAGCCAGAAAGATCGCCGAAGGCTTCAGAGAGAGAATTAGGTCTGGTAGGATGGATGGGATTTAGATAGGAAAACAGCGTCCCAGACAAGGGGCCCAAGGGAGGCCGAGGAGGGAGTACTCAAGGAATGGCAAGTAGTTTAATCGGAGTGGACATTATTCTGTAGAAACAGCGGACAGAGCAGTTGGAAGTAGGCTTTCAGCACGATTGCTAAGTGAAATTTTAAATAGAGACTTAAAACTGACATTTGTATCACAAAGATGTTGTAAAAACCCAGATACCCAGTTGTATCAACGATGTATACGGAGATATGTTTTCATGACTATGTCACGTATTTATGGCTTTGTGACTAGTTCAGCTAAGTGCTGTGTTGACTCTTAAGGATCAAGTACATCCTTGTGATGGCTGTTGCTCATGGCAGTTCTAAGAAGAATGTGGGAGCCAGGCTTTGAATAATGGCGACATTTATTCTAATCCTTGAAAAAATTTTTACTTTCCGAGTAAGTACTCGTTTACTTTCAGACATGTACTTGATCTTTTAAATGTATGTCTTTCAAAATTAACGGAATTGATACAAAATTCTGTGTATATTAATGTGGCCCAGTTAAAACTGATTAATCAGTTAGTACCCTAAGTAATGTCAATGTATTCCTCCTAGAGTGCAGTATTTATCTGAGAGTTTTTGTATCTCTTCTTTTCAGGTCGGCTCAAAAGCAGAGGTTGCTGAGTGTAAGGAGAAATTTGCCACCTCCAAAGACCCCACAGTCAGTCAGACTTTCATGTTGGATAGGGTGTTCAACCCTGAGGGGAAGGCCTTGCCACCGATGAGAGGATTCAAGTACACCAGCTGGTCCCCCATGGGTTGCGATGCAAATGGCCGGTGCCTCTTGGCAGCACTGACCATGGACAACCGCCTGACCATCCAGGCTAACCTCAACAGACTGCAGTGGGTCCAGCTGGTTGATCTGACTGAGATTTATGGAGAGCGACTCTATGAGACCAGTTACAGGCTCTCTAAAAATGAGGCTCCAGAGGGGAATCTCGGGGACTTCGCGGAGTTCCAGAGGAGGCACAGCATGCAGACACCCGTCAGGATGGAGTGGTCGGGCGTGTGCACCACGCAGCAGGTCAAGCACAACAACGAGTGCCGGGATGTGGGCAGTGTGCTCCTGGCGGTCCTCTTTGAGAACGGCAACATTGCTGTGTGGCAGTTTCAGCTGCCCTTTGTAGGGAAGGAATCCATCTCTTCGTGCAACACGATTGAGTCAGGAATCAACTCTCCTAGTGTTTTGTTTTGGTGGGAATATGAGCACAATAATCGGAAAATGAGCGGCCTTATTGTGGGGAGTGCTTTCGGACCTGTAAAAATCCTTCCTGTCAATCTCAAAGCAGTTAAAGGCTATTTCACCTTAAGGCAGCCCGTTGTCTTGTGGAAAGAAATGGACCAGTTGCCCGTGCACAGCATTAAATGTGTTCCGCTTTACCACCCGTACCAGAAGTGCAGCTGTAGCTTAGTGGTGGCTGCGAGGGGATCCTACGTGTTTTGGTGTCTTCTCCTGATCTCCAAAGCAGGTCTCAATGTCCACAATTCCCACGTCACAGGCCTTCACTCACTGCCAATCGTCTCCATGACTGCAGACAAGCAGAATGGAACCGTATATACCTGTTCCAGCGACGGGAAGGTGAGGCAGCTGATTCCCATTTTCACCGATGTTGCATTAAAGTTTGAACACCAGTTAATTAAACTCTCAGATGTGTTCGGCTCGGTGAGGACACACGGGATAGCAGTGAGCCCCTGTGGCGCATACCTGGCTGTCATCACCACCGAGGGCATGGTCAACGGCCTCCACCCCGTGAACAAAAACCACCAGGTCCAGTTTGTTACTCTCAAAACCTTTGAAGAGGCAGCTGCTCAGCTCTTGGAATCTTCCGTTCAAAATCTCTTCAAGCAGGTGGATTTAATAGATCTTGTGCGCTGGAAGATTTTAAAGGATAAACATATCCCTCAGTTTTTACAAGAAGCTTTGGAAAAAAAGATTGAAAGCAGCGGAGCCACCTATTTTTGGCGTTTCAAACTCTTCCTCCTGAGAATTTTATATCAGTCCATGCAGAAAACCCCTTCAGAAGCATTATGGAAACCCACCCACGAGGACTCCAAAATCTCATTGGTTGACTCCCCCGGGACGGGCAATGCTGAGGAAGAACAGCAGGAGGAAGGCACGTCTTCCAAACAGGCGAACCGGCAGGGCCTGCAGGACAGGAGCAGAGAGGGCGACACGGAGGACCCCGCTGATGACTCCCTGACCCAGGCCGGAGATGCCGGGGGCCGCGAGCCGATGGAAGAGAAGCTCCTGGAGATCCAAGGGAAGATCGAAGCTGTGGAAATGCACTTGACCAGGGAGCACATGAAGCGAGTCTTAGGGGAGGTGTACCTGCATACCTGGATCACAGAAAACACTAGCATCCCCACTCGAGGCCTCTGTAACTTCCTGATGTCTGACGAGGAGTGTGATGACCGAACGGCACGGGTAGGTGTTTTCTCAGCAGAAACGCTGAAACCGTAGAAGGTCTGCTTTCTTCGTGAGGGAGAAAAGGTCTACGTGGCATTCCTAACCCAGCTTTCGCTTTGATATTTTGTAGGTAGTTGATTGGCACGAAGTGCAGGAGAATAAATAGGAAACACGGATAAATGCAGAGGACACATTCAGATCACACAACGAATATTTCCATTCACCGCAGCCTTCACTGATAGGCCAGGCTTGCGGGCGGGCCGAGATCCCCAGGCCCGGGATGAGCTAGCGGAGGCTTCAGTTAGCGAGTAGTATGTGACTGGGTGGTCACAGCAGGGGAAGGGTGACACCCTGCTTTCTTTCCTTCCTGTTTGCAAAGGTTCTGGGGGTATGGGGGTCAGCACTGGCGGCAGCACAGGGACTGGTCACACTTGGGAGGACTTGAGATCTTTGATACAGTCAGGGAGGGCATGTTCAAGTAAGCAAATTGTTACAATGTTTATTTTTACAAAAACGGCATAATCTTGATTTTGATTTAGAAGCATCTTGGAGTCTTATCCAAAATGTATTCCACAGAATTCAAGTTCCCTGATAGAACACCAGGGTTCCAAGCTTGAGGAGATGCCATATACTCTGTCCTCCTCTTAGGGGGTCCCAGTGTACCTTATCCTTCTAAGGATTCTGAGAATTCCTGCGGAAAAGAAACCACTTAACTTTATGTAGCTCATTGTTATCCTGGTATCAGGGAACCTTTCTTTGTGAACTAACAGCTGCTAAAATTCTCAAGAACAACAATAACAACAACAACAAAAAATCCTGAAGAACTTGTGTTTCAAGGAACATACTTTATTTTATACTAAAATATTCAAAACCACAAAAGCCTGTGTTTCCTACTGCTGTTAAGATTGACACTTATTCTCACTGCCTAAAGTCTTGCTTAAACTTGAAGGTAATAAATGAAAATATCTTCATGCCTACGTTAAACCACTCACAAATTCCTTGTTGCATTTTCTTATTGGAAAGTGTGTGTGTGTGTGTGTGTGTCCCCGCCCCTAAAATCATTACACACAGGAGATTTGGAGTAATGGCAAGAATACTTACGAGGTCCTTTTCATGTAACTGATTTTCCATCTTTGAAAGCTTTTAAAAATTGTTTCATTGTGGTCTGAATTGTGCAGACCACACACAGCAGACCATTGTGAAGAGTTTCCTGGTGATCACTGTTTCACGGGACCTAGAGGGAGTATCACAAGAGGCTGTGAAAGACTGACAAAACATTTTAGGAAATAGGTGGTGGGAGTTGGCGGTGATGGCTTAGGCAGTTGTCCACGTGTGGCGTGAGTGCAGGGACGGCCAGCAGTCCCAGGGCTCCAGCAGAGCCAGTTTGAAGAAGGGAAGATGGTGCCTCTGCTTATCGATAGAACCGAGTTTTGATTAGAAACACTGCATTTCATGTCTTAAAAAAAATACCACCATGTGCATGAAATGAACCTTTTCACACCTAGTGCACTGACATGCTAGTGATTACGCGCTGTTTGTGAGATCTCTGCCTGGTGTGTCAGTGCCGTTAGACCAGCGGTGTTTATTACCGCTGCCACCACCCCACCCCGGCCTTTTTAGACCTTTTTTTCCTAATTGTTCCTGCCTGCGACATTTTAATAGTTCCACAGCTATATTTTGTATATATTTGTGGTAGATACTGCCTAAATGTACTTTCTGCATAAAAAGGGTAAGAATTTTTGTCCCCCCAAGAACCAGTATTTGCCCTGTTGGAAGGAATGTCTCCCCCTTTGGGGATGTGTGAGTTGCACTGACACAGGTGGGCCTGCTGGTCGAGGCTGGTGAGAGCACATAGAAGCGGTTCTTCCTCATGTAAAGTTTGAGTGCATCTCTCCTGGAGCAATTCTGAGCAAATTTTGTCATGGCACCAGTACCAGGATATTTGGGCTGTCTGGAAGAGAAGGGAGGGTGGTTGTTCCTGCTGGAAGGGATCATAAATTAGAATTCTTAAGGCTGAAAAAACAGAAGGCCAAAGCCAATGGGCTTTAAGTTTGTAAATTATATACAGCGTAGTTAAGACACTAGTTTGAGCTATTAAGATACCCTCAAAACTTCGGTGAACTAATTTCAGTGAATGGTTGAAGTAGAGAGTTCCTCTGCGAGAACTTACGTATAAATGGTTTAAGAACCCCGAAGGACGTTGTCTCCTCATAAGATGAGAGTCCTTAAGGCTTGGTGTACCCCGTGCCTCCGAATGATGTAGCCAGTGAAGGTTTTTTCAACCAAATAATGAAGTAGAGCAGCGTGTTTTATACTTTCATTTTTAAAGTGGTATAATCCTAATAAGGCAGAGAAAAGCGATGCTGAAGTAGGGCCAGGGTCTAGAGCCTGTCCTGTCGACCTCTCTCTGCCAGTCCCAGCGCCACAGCGGGGCCCAGCCTGCCTCTGCGATGGAGCTCGGTGGATCGCAAGCTGCGGGCTGCTGGACTAGATTGCTCGTGGGTCTTGGGGCTGTGAGAAAGGGGATTTACCTTTTAAAATCCTGGTTATATTTGCAAGCCTGTCTTAGAATGAGCATTTTGTACAATTTTGTGTAAGAATGGACATTTGTACAATTCTACAAAGTTAGAATTTCACATAATACTTGGCCCATAGAGATGATGCTTTTCCTTCTTAAAGTCATGTTACAGAAGACCTAAATACTTTGTCTTCCAGTAGAACTCTGAGTTCCTTGTTTCAGGAGCTGCTAAAGCAAGGCAAGTGATAAGGTTTTGGTTTTCAGAAGTTTTTGCTTTAGTTGTTGGGGTTCACCCTGTTGTCACAGGGTCACCAAATCAGCCGGTCCACACACGGTGAGGGTCTAGCTCTGCTGCGTCCAGACAGTATGACCAGCCTGCGTGGAAATGCAGGCCTCTGAGCTCATGTTCACGCAGCGTTCGCTGTCGTCCGTCCGTCTGCTTCCGGGAAGTCTTGCACTCAACGCCGCTCAGTGTTGCTACTGCTTGTCTTACTAGGTGCTGATTGGACACATCTCAAAGAAGATGAACAAACAGACTTTCCCTGAGCACTGTAGTCTGTGTAAAGAGATCTTGCCATTCACAGATCGCAAACAGGCCGTCTGCTCCAACGGCCACATCTGGCTCCGGTAAGCCGTTCATTTTCAGCCAGCCCGTGCTTTCGCTCATTTTCCACTTTTGTATAGTGCAAGTCCCTGGGAAGTGTGTGTCCAGAATAATGTTGCCTGTGCCACTGGGTTGGAGAAACGCTGCTGTTAGAAAACAAGATGTAGACTTTATCAGTCTGATAAAATCCTCTTTTAGAGGAATTTTTTTTACTGCTTGAGATAGGGGGTTTTTTGTTTTTGTTTTTAAGATTTTATTTGGGAGAGAGAGAGATCATGAGCGGGGAGAGGGAAAAGCAGACTCCCCACTGAGCAGAGAGCTCAATGCGGGGCCTGATCCCAGGACCCTGAGATCAGAACCTGAGCTGAAGGCAGAGGCTTAACCGCCTAAGCCACTGAGGCGCCCCAAGAGGGATTTCTTTATTTTGATAATACTGTTTTCCTTTGAAGTAGCATTAAATTTTTAAAAATTGCTACAAAAGTAGTACCTGTTTAAGCTAATGGCATACAAAAGAAGAGCGAATGCACTTCTTTTGGTTTAACTTTATACTGAAGGTGGAGGTCTTCCTTCTCTTACCGTCCCATGTCACTGTAAGAGGGCAGGTCAGTTGTGTTCGGGTTTTATGGACCCGTGAGCTGAGTTTGACACCGTGTTTACTCCCCCCTTCCTCCCCGCGGCCCCTTCATCTCCTGGCTTTCCCACACACAGTCCCCGCGGTTTTCTCTTGCCTCTCCCTCTTTCTCCGTTGTCTTTCCTGATTCTGTTCCGTCTCCTTGATGTCCGTCGTGGACCTGCTTCTCTTTTGTCAACACTCCTTGGCAGTCGTGGACCGTCTGCGCACCGGTGGCTTGAATGAACATCTGTAGCCTGACTCTGTCCCCCAAGCAAGCCAGGCTTTTCCGCCGGACCCCTGTTCACTGTCTCTGCTTGGAAGATTCAGAGGCCTTTCAAATATGAATCCAGCCTTTCCTCACTGCCTCCACCTCTGTAGTCCTCGCGTGAGACACTCTCTTGCCCAGATTTATATGGTTCCCTCCCCGCAGGGGTTCCCGCTGCCTCCCTTGCCCTCCAGCCTGGGTGCCACGTGGCCACGGCTGCGAGCCTGCTAAGATTTACCCACTCCACCCCTCTCTGCTTAGAACGCTCCGGAGGCCACCCATTCCTGATGAGTAAAAGCCCGAATCCCTTTAGTGATCAGAGCTACACAACCCGGCCCGGCCCCGCTCTGACCTCATCTCCCATTTCCCCGCCTTGCTTACTTCACTTTCTGCGCACCGGCCTCATGGTTCTGCACGTGCACAAGGTGCCTCTCCTACTTCAGGGTGTCTGCCTGGATTGCTCTCCCAGCGGGTGGTCGCGTGGCTTCCTCAAGTGCCCCTTTATCAGTTAGCCTGCCTTCGTGGCCACACTGCCAGCACTATAGCACCCGGCCGGCGTGCCCTGCCAGCACCTCCTGGCATGCCCTAGTGTTTCTCGTTGCTCTTCCTTGCCTTATTGGCCTCCCAAGCGGCCATCACCACTTCATAGATGCTTTACTTTTTGGTTCTCCCTCTCCTCTGGAGTAGAAAGCTCCAGGAGAATGGAGAAGCTTGTTGTTTTGTCCACAGCTGTTCCTAGAACAATGCCTGGTCCATGGTAGGCACCATTTAATCTTTTAAAATTTTTATTTATTATTTATTTAAGAATGTGTGCTCTTAGTGGGGAGGGGTAGAGGGAGAGAGAAGCCCAAGCAGACTCAGCTTGGTGTCATGCCCCTGAGATCACAACCTGAGCTAAAACCAAAAGCTGGACGCCTAGCCGACTGCACCACCAGGCGCCCCCACCCATTTAATTTTTTTAATTTATTTTTAACAGAAACAGGATTGTGCTACACATCCTATCTTTTCTTTTTTTTTTTTTTTTGAAGATTTATTTATTCAAAAGAGGGAGTGAGCATGTGAGCAGGAGGAGAGGTGGGGGGGTGTTGGGGAGAGAGAGAGAGAATCCTCAAGCAGATTTTGTGCTGCGTGCAGAGCCTCAGGACCCTGAGATCATGACCTGAGCCGAAATCAAGAGCCACCCAGGCACCCTGCTATACATCCTATCTTATCAACTTGACAATTCTCTTCTCAAAATATTGTGGACATTTTTTTCACATTACTACATAGATCCCCCCCCCCTTTTTTTTTTAAGATAGATTTACTTTAGAGGGGGCTGGTGTGAGCAGGGTCGGGGGGCACAGGGAGAGAGAGAGCATGTCAAGCAGGCTGCCTGCTGAGCATGGAGCCGATGCAGGGCTGGGCTCCCTGAGCCTAAGATCATGACCTGAGCCAAAATCAAGTCGGACTCAACCAAGTCACCCAAGCGCCCCCAGATCCCATTTCCAATGGCTGTAGAGGGTTTCACGGTACAGACGTTCTGTTATTTACTTCCTTGTTGATAGATACTTGGATTTCTTTGGAATTTTACTGTGTTCTTATGCTTTTTTCTAATTTGATTTTTAGGGGACGAATGGGAAGCAAGTTTGTAATAGTAGTAGGCTTGTAGTAGTAACACCTAACATCTGTTGAGCACAGCAAGCATGCATGGGGGCACTGCGGTCGTTTCTGTTTTTACAGGTGAGGAAAGAGGGGCCTGGGGGAGATGGATAATTTGCCCAGGGTCACCCAGCTGGTGACCGCAGAGCTGAGAGCCTGGCAGTCCGGCTCCAGAGTTCCCATGTGTCACCACTGTGCATCGTTGTCTCTCGATGGGTTCTTTCACAGAAATTATCTTCACATTTGCTGGATGGAGTTAATGCCGGAAGGTCTCGGCGTAATTTCTCCATGTGAGAGTGGGTGCTTGCTCTCACTCAGGTGTAGCCTTTCTTCCTGTAATACCCTCTTTTCTCGAGGTACCCCTACTTGGACTCTTTCCCCTCACCCCCTTCCTCTCTGTTTCTCTGCTCCTTAGTTACTTGGCTGAAGAACTGATCGTTGGGAAGCCTTACCTACGCAACCCTGCACTCTGCCATCGCCTGGCGTCGCCCCTTCCCTCGTAGCCTGGTCCCCGGGGACGCCCAGGGAGTGGTCACAGCATAGAGCTGAGCCTGTGAACATTTGTGCATGTCCCGGCTCGTTTTTTGCACCATTAATTTTGTATCTTTCAGGTTTTCCCCACTGTACTGTCAGATTCTTAAAGATGGTGCTTTTACCTAATCTTAAAAATCACATACAGGAATAATTTTCTGTATAATACGTGTTCATCTTTTTTAACATGTCAAAAATGCAAAGTATGGACAGAATAAACTCTTTCTCAGACTTGCAATTGGCCAAAGAGAAGCTGCCCCGACTGGATTGGAAGCTTTATATCTCCTGGCTCAGCATCCAGACCCTTGCTAAATGTGGGCCAGTCTGGCCAGCTTTGTGCTGAGGGATACACTGTTGCCACTGGCTTGGGAACTCTTTCTGCGCTTTCCTGGTTAGTGTATCGGTTGACAGTAACCGTCATCTGCGGCTTCCTCCTGATGATGGGGTCTGTCTTCTCTCAGGTGCTTTTTAACCTACCAGTCCTGCCAGAGCTTGATATACAGAAGGTGTTTGCTCCACGACAGCATCGCCCGCCATCCAGCTCCGGACGGTGAGTGCTTTCCCAGCCTCGAGCTTCACCTGGCTTCGCCTAGGGCCATGCGGGGGGCAGCAGGCTCGTTCTGCTCTTGACAGGATGATCATGAAGCAAAGACTCATTAAAAGATGAGAATGGGAGTAGGTCGTGTGCATTTTAGTGCATAAGGAGGGCTGCGGCGGGCTCTTCTGTCCCTGCAGACAGAGCGTTCGTTCAAGAAAATGCCAGCGCTTGTTTTAGATGGCAGACAGAGGTTATATTTGGACGGAAGTCTGCGAATGGTAAGGTACACAAAGACACAGTTGCTAAGGCAGAGTGACCACATACGCACTTGGAGTCATTCTTCCAGTAGCCACGATGGGATTTTTCAGGTTGGTCTGTATTCTCCTTTCTGGTAGCCCTGGTGACAAAGCCCCCGTTTCCGAGACGATGAGTTGGAAATAAGATCACAGACACGACCCAAGACTTAGTGACTGAAATTGTCACATGAACGTCAGATTCATGACCTGAGGCTCAGTCACCTCACACCCCCACCAAATGAGCTAACTAGATGTGAGCGTCACACGGTTATATACGTGTTTGGGGAAGATTTGTGGTCTCGATGAACTAAAACAGAAAACATTCCACATGAAACTCTGCCGTTTTATCTTTACTCCAGAACGGTCTCGCTCTGAGAAGGCGGTGCGTTGGCAACTTGTGTTCTGACTTGTTAACGGAGCACGCGATCCCGTACTGAGGCAGAGAGGAGCGTGTAGGAACCCTTACGTGCCCGTCACTCGGCCTCCGCTCTTGTCAGCTCGTGGCCTTTTAGATCTCGTCGGTAGTCCCCCACTCCTTTCCCTCCTCTCACTGCATTATTTTGAAACAAATTCGGGGAACGCACAAACACTCCATGCAGCTGAGAGTCGCTGTGCTGATGAGGGGAAATTGGGAAGAGATCGAAATGGGTCAGAGAAACCGTTGCCAGCGGACATGGCGTCGCGCTGCATGCAGTTCTGGGAGAGAAGAGAATCTGCGGGGCCTGGAGGGCGGTCAGAGAGCAGGGCGCTCACGGTGACGGGGAGAAGGTGTTGACCCAGTATAGTCACGCCTGGCTCCGAGTCATGCATTTAGAAAATGACCGTCACTTTCATTTTATCAAAGAGGATTTGCACATGAACAGCGTAGGAAGGATGTCTCCTGGAGCGCAGTCCTTTCAGCCAAAGAAACAGCTTTGTGAATCACTCATTCGTGGTCCTTGCGTTCGTTCCCTCGCAGAGGGATGGAAATGTCCTCACGCACGTAGCTTCGTGAAGCACGATTTCGTCTAGCCTCGTCTGGAGCGTGGGAGGGAGGCGCTGAGAACACAGAGCCGGGCCCGGGGGCGCCCGTCCCTGTCCTCGGCAGCCCGGCCAGGGCTCAGCCCGGCCGCCTGCCCTCTCTGAAGCTCACGCTGGGTACCGCTTGTCTTTCTCTCGCAGATCCTGACTGGATCAAGAGGTTACTGCAGAGCCCCTGCCCTTTCTGCGATTCTCCGGTCTTCTGAGCGGCGGCGGTGGGAGCTGGGACGGGCGCGCGCTCGGTTGCGGAAAACACCCTCGGGCTGAGGACGTGGGATGCGCTGGCTGAGCCTGGGCTTCGCGTGGGCCGGCCTCTTCGGGAGCGGAAACAGGGCGCTGGGAACTCCTTTCTGAAGTACCGTCTCGTCTCCAGGGACTACGGGATATCTCCGAAACGACGGAGCGCGAGCCTGTAAGTCATTGTGAGAGGAGCGCTAGCCCCCCACTCCTCACCCGGTGAGGAACACTTACTTTTCAAGTGTTTTGACTGAAGCAGCTTGAACGGAAAGAACGCCCTGTCATTTCTGGGAACAGAATGATCTCTTCTGGAGAGTTGGGGTAAGGGCCTTGCTGGACCGAGTTGGGCTTTAATGCCTGCCTTGGACGGGAACCGCCCCGTGGCCCCGCAGAGCGTGGATCACTGGCCCGGGGTGTCGTGCGCCAGCACACACGGCGCGTGTCCGAAACGGCGCTGGACCCTGTCCTTTGTTCCCACAAACAGCCACAGATCTGTATCCCACGGATTCTCGTCTCTGCTGTGTACTGAACACATGTTCATAAAACGGTATTTTTAAGAGGTCGAGGCCGAGACTAAAGTTGGTTTTGATGTGTCAGAAGATCAGGTGATTCCTGTGAGTAAATAACGGCGACTTATTTTTGATGAGCTCCCGCGTGATGGATCCCCAGTCCTGACTCCTTAACATGTCAAGGAGGTCGGGAATTCCTCTCCATCCATGTCACCTTCCTGCTTCTGACTTTCGTAGCCCAGAAGAGATATTTGTACACAGAAGAAAAAGAATATTTTCTCCTTTAAACTTCTAGTGTTTTTAATGTTGACATGTCCAGACATTTCAGTTGTATCCACTATAAGAATGTGCAGGCCATCTAGAGACTTCCAGAAAACTCGCAGAAAGCGACGGGTAGCCCCGGCGTGCAGGTGCTTGTGCTCCAGTGCTTGTGCTTGTGTGGCTTTGTGGATGAGAGCCCGGGAATTTCTTCCCAGCAAGGGTCCCTGATACTTAGAATGTAGCTCTTTTCCTGTGGGCTGTTCAGAGGAGACGTTAGACATTAACTGGTCTTAAAATCTAAAATTAAAAATGGACATTCGGGAATTACAGTGTTCTTGGATTGCGAAAATAGCGTCCTAGAGCTCGGTGCTAAGCAACAGGACTGTGCTGCCTGCGTGTGGAAATGGTACGTCCTTCTGGGAAGTAGGAAGGAAGTACAAAATGGGAGATTCTCGCTCCGCTTACATGCTGGCTGTTGCGCCTTTATTCTGACACTTGCTCCTGCCTTTGTCGTGATTCCTCAGTGAAGGACTGCTTGTCCTTGCTTTAGAAACACTTGCTCTGTGGGCAAGACACACGGCCACAGACCGCTGTGGCCCCCCCCCCCCGGCACCTCCCCCCCGCCTCCCCGCCACAGGCACCGGCGCCCAGAGCCCTTCAGAGGCGCCTCCGAGCGGCCTGCCCTGAAATGGCTTCTGTTTCCTGTTCAGATTGTGTCTTGTCTCCTGTGTTTAATTCTGTCTTTGCTGGAGTCTTCTGCTTCGCTTTCTCTTCTCGGTCATTTCAAGAATAGTGTTGATCCAGATACAGGGGCCCGCACGTTGAATTGGTTTTCCAGAAAGAGAAGCAGGCGGCACGGGGATCGCGAGCTGCACAGCTCAGACGTCACAGCTCAGACGTCACGTGGCCCGTCGCTGTCTCAAGTCCTGGGGACCATGGCTGCTTAGTTTCACTTACTCTTTGTTCTTTATCAGGGTCAGTGTTTGAGTCGTTCTTATGGAGAATTTAGTGCCGCTGCCATTTAAAACTTACATTAAGTTTTTATTTAAAGCAGTTGTACGTTTTGGGGGAGATGGACCTCTTGGGAGTTAACTAAAAGGGTCTCTTGAATTACTGTGTATTCTCTGTAGGAATAAATATGGCAACTGTTTTACTAGAACGTGACTTCTCTCTGCCCGGGGGTAGGCATTCTGCAGACTCTAAAATCCACCCACCACCTCAGCCTGAATTTCCGTGCCTGGAGCAGGGAGGCGCCCCCCCCCCCCGCCCCCGCACGCCCCCCTCGTGCATGGCCGCATCGCGCACACAGTCGGCTTCTGTTGCACGAAGGGTCGGTGTACCTGCCGACAGAGTGCCAGTCAGTGGGACTTGGGGAAAGCAGGGCTGACACCCAGAATCTTCCAGCCCACTGGCTCTCCTGGCTTACACTTGTCATGCCCTCCATGCTGACATGGATGGCCTGATCCGTTTCGTGGATTTCAGGTTTATCTCGGCTGTCACCCTAAGAACTGGGTGAGAAGCGGCAGAGATGGGGGAGGCCGTGTTGCCGCGCTGCCCTGGAGTCAGGCGCAAAGACCGGATGCAATTAGACCTTTCCAGCTACAACACGCTTGCGCGCCGGGAGTCTCATACCCACGCCTGTATCCCGCGCTCTCTGCCTGGGGTTAATTTGTCCCCATTACTCCAGATAAGAAATCGATAGCTTGTTACGCTTGATACTCATTCTGAAACCCTCATGTGCCCAGCACCCAGACTTCAAGCCGTCTCTACCTACTATCACATCTGCCAAAGCTACCAATTATTTTTCAGTGTCAAGAGTTATTAGAACCGCTGGCGAAGCTTGTGGCTGAGTGTGACATCTTTCTGCTTCTAAGAGGACGTGGAAGCATGTGGGTTGGACCTATTCGCGAGTGCCAGGGCTTAGTTAGGTGAAAGGAGCGTTAAGAGGTGATAACTAAATAGAAAGATATTTTCTGTTGTAATTACACCGCTGTCAGCTAAGAAGCAGAAGTTGGTGCTTATTGGTGCTTGCTAGGGGGCGCGCACGCGGGTTTCACGAAACCCCTGCTCCCCCGGCAGCTGCCCTCGCAGCTCAAGAGGAACTGCCCCGGTTTGGTGAGTTGCCGCGGCTCCGGGAATGCAACCCGGATCTCCGGCCCCCGCCTGCGGGCTCTGTTCAGCCTGCTTGCCCCTGGCCCCTCTGCTCTCTCGTGCTTTTCCTTCCTGGTGAGGTCCTCCTAATTTCCCTTCCTCTTGTTTTCTCAGCTTCAGGACACGTCCAGAGCTAGCAGATTCCACGTTTGAAAGGACAATAGATCAGTGATAAATTTCCTAAAAATTACCTCACACAGTAGGTCTCCTTCCTAGAAGAGACGATAGCACACAGTGATTTTTCTCTCAACGGTAATAGTGTTGGCTTTTAACTTGGTAAATTTTATCTGGTTTTCTTCAAGACTTCATTATTTCCCTGGCAGAGTGCTGAGTAACTCTTGGCTGGCCTTTGGGGCTAGAGTCTGCTAAATTTTAGCCCCTTGCCACTTCCCGCTGCCCTATGCCAACTTGTTCCTGACGAACAGAAATGCTGGCTAAGTCAGCTGGCCTGTTTTTTTGTTTTGTTTTCTTTTTTTAGATTTTTTAAAAATTTATTTGACGGAGAGATCACAAGTAGGCAGAGAGGCAGGCGGTGGGGGGAGGGGAAGCAGGCTCCCGCCGAGCAGAGAGCCCGATGTGGGGCTCAATCCCAGCACCCTGAGATCATGACCTGAGCCGAAGGCAGAGGCTTAACCCACTGAGCCACGCAGGGGCCCCAGCCGGCCTGTTTTTTAAGGGAAAGGTAGGTTCTGCGTTTTTTCTTTCTAGGCGTTGGGCAGCACGCACAGCCAGAGCAATCATGAGTGTCCTCCGTTAGCCCCCCGTGGACGTGGCGGGCCTCTGCGCGGCTCCCGTGAAGGATCACGAATATACCTTTACGTTCAGATGCTTCTTCCCCTGGGGTGGACGTGAGCCGTTCGGTGAGACCACGGAGTGTCTAACCTTCCTCCTCACGGCTGTCGTTTTCAAAACGTCTAGAAGGCCCCGACTCAGTGGTTCCCATTTCCCTTACTCGTGTGCGCGTCAGCTGTGTCTCGGGTCTCCTGGTAAACTTGGAACTGCTCTTTCTTGAAGTTAAAAAGGCTTCTGGAGTTAGGAGCTTCCCGTCGGCTCACCGATGCCTGCTATTTAAAATGATCACGGAGCTGGTGAAAGCGACTCTCCTTGCGTTGAGTCCAGTTTGCTGACTCTGGAGTTGCTCCTGACGGTCCTATAGCGTCTCTATCCTGAGGACAGCGGGGTTTTTCCGAAGATGGGGAGCTCGGTTCCGAGGCGCCGACGAGACCGGTCAGCAGAGTCTGTAGAGAGGATGAAGCCTCCCAGCTGCCCGTGTCCTCTGTTTTAGAGCCGGGCTCTTCCTGAACACTGGCGGGAAACCGATCAGTTTGACGGGGCAATGGCTATAGAAACGTCCCGTAAAGAAGTTGGTCCTTTTGTTGTCGGACTTCCAGCCTCTCTATCTGGTTCTGTGATTCAGGTTTTCTTACTTTGCGGGTTTTTTTATAATTACACCTGGTGGGGGGGGTTCCTAACACGTACATGGAGCATTATATGATTTTCCGACTTAGGGGCACCCTTCCTTCCAGGCTTGCCCACAGTTGAAAGGGAAGATGACAGTCTCCTGCCGGCATAAAGGTACAGGCCATCTGGGCGAGACGCTGTCGGCGGGTTGGGGGGACGGACGTGGCAGCACTCTAAATCCTGTTATTTCCGCAGCCAAAACGTCGCCTCACCATGAACCCCTGTCGCTGTCACGGAAAGGTCCCGTCGGGCGGCCGGACTGGAGGGTGTAGGAGGCGGCGACGGCTCGGAGGCACTTCCTGCTTTCTCCGTTTCACATTTGCCGAACAGGCTGCTGGGGGCTCGGGTAGATTGTTCTTGGTACGAATTCAAAATTAAAAGCAAAAATGCATTATTGGGTCTTTTTAAAGACTTTGACTCAGATTTGTACTTCATGAAAGGAGCCTGAATATTAAACCTGTTTCTACAGAAAGGAGACTGTAGAGAAAACAAAGTGTGTGTTGTGTATAGTGATATTTTATGTTCACCCGATACCTGTGCTAATCTTTGAATTACATGTATGTTTACATAGGACATTTTTTTAAATAAAAAGAACGGGCGTCTGAAAACTTAAGGTTATAGAAAGGAGAGAGTTTCTTATTCTTACCATCGGATTAGGGGGTGTGTTTCAGACTTTTGGTGTTTAAATAAAACTTTTAGGAATAAGAGCACCTTCTGCTGGAACATCGGCAT